GAGTACTTACTATATGATTTTGCAAGTTTTAGCTATCAATTACTTACGTTACTGATGTAACTGTTTTTAGAACATCCGGTGTGAGTGCTCTGAGGATGTTGAGATGGCGAGTCCGAAACGTAAAATAGTTATCAATGATTTTTTTTGCCGCTTCTTTTTCGTAGTGGCTTTTGTGCAGAAAAGTCAGTATTTGAGTGTCTACAAAGGAGTACTGAAAACTTCAAGACTAACTGAGTAAAAATTTGAACATACCCTCTACTTTTGGTAGATGTGGCTGAGTCTTCAACCATTTTTGGATTTCTTCCACGTCTTGTTTTTTCAAGTTGGGGTCTTTTTGGTAAACTTTGTCGGCAGATACGCACTTGAAAGGCATGGCGTAGCTTTAGATTTTTTAGAGGGACACCAGTGGGATGTCTCTGACTAGAAACGGTTATTGTCGCGTTTTATCTTATTCAAAAACAAAAAACAAGAGTCGTGATTACATAATGAGGTCAGAGATGAATGCGCTGATCTAGATTCAACCAATTTTAAATATCAGTGTTGCAGTTTGATTAAAACACTGCCTTAATAAAAACAACTGTTTTTTGTTTAAGTGAGAATTTATTCTTTAATTGTGTTTTATACTAACAAAATGTCTTAAATTAACAAAATTGTTGAAATCGTAATAATCCAATGGACTTTTTTCGGAAAAATGTAATTATTTTTATGTCTTGGAAACATTGTGTTACTTGTTACAATTTTATATGCATTTTTAAATGTTTTTAGTGACAATTTTTGTGGTTATTTTCGATACATTGTATAATATTAACACTGAGAAAAAAAATTAAAATAATCGAAAATTTGAAAAATCGAAAACCTGAAAAATCGAGAAATCGAAAAATCGAAACTTCAAAAAATCGAACAAATCGAAGAAATTGAAAAATTGAAATATCGAAGAACTGAAATGAAAAATCGAGAAATAGAAAAATCGAACAAACGAAAAATTAAAAAATCTAAAATTTAGAAACCGAAAAACGAAGAATCGAGAATTCGAAACTCCAAAATTTAAAAAATCAAAAAATTGAAAAATCGGATAATTGAAAAATCGAAACATCGAAAAACTGGAAAATCGAAAAACCGAGGAATCGAAAATTAAAAGATCGAGGAATCGAGAAGTCGAAAAGTCGAAAAATTGGGTAACCGCAAAATCTAAAAGCAAAGAAATAAAAAAACGAAAAAACGGAATAATGGAAAAACTGAAAAATCGAATAATAGACCAAAATAAAAATCGAAAAGTTATAAATTATTGAAAAACTGATAAATCGAGAAACTGAACATCAAAATATCGAAACGTCCGAATCTTGATGAATCGGAAAATTAAAACATTGAAATACAGGAAAATTTTAAAAAAGCAAAATTAAAAAATCGAAAACTTGAAAAATTGAAATATCGAAGAACTGAAATGAAAAATCGAGAAATAGAAAAATGTGAAAATTAAAACAACAGAAAATTCAAATTGAAAACTTGAGAAAACGAAAAATCAAAAAAGTGAAGTCGAAAAACCGAAAAAGCGGAAAATTGAAGGTTAAAGAACTGGAAAATCGAAACAGTCGAAAGTCAAGAAATGGAATCAAAACATCGATTAATTAAAAAATCGAAAACTTGAGAATTTAGAAATGTGAAAAAAAATCCAAATATTTAAAAATCGTAAAATTGAAGAGGAGAAAAATTGAAAAAACGTAAAACTGAAACATCGGAAAATTGAAAAATTCGGAAATTGTAAAATCGAAAAATTGAATAATAAATAATGTGAAAAAACCCAAAAGTAAATTTCGATAAATTGAAAAATGAAAGAAAAGCTGAATGGAAAAACTGAAAAATCTCAAAAGGGAAATATCCAAAAAATGAGAAATTAAAAAACTGAAAAATTGAGAAATTGAAAAATTAAATACCTAAAAAATCGAAAAATTCAGAGTTTATAATAGTCAAATTTGGAAAACTGAAAAATCGAAAATTTGAAAAAACGAAAAATTGAAAAACAGAAGACCTAAATCGAAAAATTAAGAAATCGAAACATTTGAAGAAATGGAAAAATCGGAAAATTGAGAGTTTATAAAAGTGAAATTTGAAAAAATCGAAAGATGTAAAAAATCGACATCGATATCAAAAAACTGACAAACTAAAGAAACTGAAAAATCGAAAAATTGAAAATTCAAAATCCTGAAAAATCGAAAACATGAATAATTTAAGAACTGGAAAATCGAAACAGTCGAAAGTCAAGAAACGGAAAAATCGAAAAATTGAGCATTTAGAAAAGTCACAAATTGAATAATTAGAAATCGAAATATATAAAAATCGTAAAATTGAAGAGGACAAAAATTGAAAAACGTTGACAAATCGAAGAATTGAAAAATTAAGAAATTGTAAAATCAAAAAATTGAATAAATAATAATAATAAATAATCCTAAAACTGAAATTTCGAAAAATTGAAAAATTAAAGAAAAACTGAAGAATGAAAAGACAGAAAAATCTCAAAACTGAACTGTCCAAAAACAGAAATTAAAAAATTGAAAAATTGAGAAATCAAAAAGTCAAAAAAGTGAAATCGAAAAAGGAAAACCTTAAAAAATTGAAAAATCAAAAACCGAAAAATTGAAGAATTGAGGAAATATGAAAAATCGAAGAGAATAAAAATTGGAAAAACGTAAAATTCAGAGATCCAAAAATTGAAAATCGTGAAACTGAAAACTTGAAAAATTATAAAATCGAAAAATTGAATATAATAGATAAACCGAAATTTCGAAAAATTGAAAACTGAAGGAAAAATCCCAAAACTGAAATATCCAAAAACCGAGAAATTAAAAAATCGAAAAATCAAAAATGTGAAGTCGAAAAATCGAAATCTTAAAAAATAGGAAATATCTGAAAATCGAAAAATTGAAAAATTCAAAATTCTAAAATTTAAAAACCGAAAACCGAAAAATCGAGAAATCGAAACGTCAAAATGAAAATATAAAGAATCAAAAAATTGAAAATTCGGATAATTGAAAAATCGAAACATCGAAAAACTGGAAAATCTTAAAACCGAAAATTCGATAAGTAAAAAATCAAAAAACCGAGAAATCGAAAAATCAAAAAATCGAAACATCCAAATCTCGATAAATGGAAAAATAAAAAAAAAATTCAAATTTCAAAAAATTGAAAAATTGAAATATCGAGAAATCGAAAAGTCATGAAGTTGAAAAATGGAAACACTAACAAATCGGAATATGCCAAAATCGAAAAAACGAAAAGTTAAAAGTTGAAAAATTAGAAAATCGAAAATCTAAAAGCGGAAAAATGAAAAACCGGAATAATGGAAAAACTGAGAATCGGAAATTGGCCAAAATAAAAAATCGACACAGCGAAATATCTAGAAGTCAAAAATCGAAAAGTCGATAATTTGAAATTTGGAAAAATCTCAAAACTGAAATATCGAAAAACTGAAAAATGAAAGAAAAACTGAAGAATGGAAAAACTGTAAAATCGCAAAACTGGAATATCCAAAAACTGATATTTGAAAAAATTGAAAAATTGAGAAATTGAAAAATCAAAAAAGCGAAGTCGATAAATCGAAACCAAAAAAAAATCGAAAAATTGAAAAATAAAAAATCTAAAAAATCGAAACATCGATTAGTTGAAAAATCGAAATATTGAGGTTTTTAAAAGTTAAGTTTAGAAAATTGAAAAGTCGAAAATGTGAAAAAACGAAAAATTGTAAAATAGAAAACCTAAAACCGGGAAATCGAAAAATCGAAAGATTAAGAAATAGAAACTTTCCAAAACTTGAAAAATTGAAATAAATATCCAAGAATGGAAATGAAAAATCGAGAAATCGAAAAATGTAAAATTTTAAAAATTGAAAAACTAAAATCTCAAAAAACTGACAAATTAAAGAAATTGAAAAATTAAAAAATCAAAATCTTGAAAAATCGAAAACATGAATAATTTAAAAACTGGAAAATCGAAACAGTCGAAAGTCAAGAAACGAAAAAATCAAAACATCGATTAATTGAAAAATCGAAAAATTGAGAATTTAGAAAAGTCACAAATTGAATAATTAAAAATCGAAATATTTAAAAATCGTAAAATTGAAGAGGACAAAAATTGAAAAAAGTTGACAAATCGAAAAATTGAAAAATTAAGAAATTGTAAAATCAGAAAATTGAATAAATAAATAATCTAATAAATAATCCTAAAACTGAAATTTCGAAAAATTTAAAAATTAAAGAAAAACTGAAGAATGAAAAGACTGAAAAATCTCAAATATCTAAAAACAGAAATTAAAAAATTGAAAAATTGAGAAATCAAAAAGTCAAAAAAGTGAAATCGAAAAATAAAAACCTTAAAAAATTGAAAAATCAAAATGAAGAATTGAAGAAATATGAAAAATCGAAGAGAATGAAAATTGGAAAAACGTAAAATTCAAAGATCGAAAAATTGAAAATCGTGAAACTGAAAAATTGAAAAATTATAAAATCGAAAAATTGAAGAATCGAAAAACTGTAAAATCTAAATAATCGAAACTCAAGAGATGGGAAAATCAAACCGATTAATTGTAAAATCGAAAAATTGAGAGTTTATAAAAGACAAAAATTGAAAAATCCAAATATTTAAAAACCGAAAATCGAAAAATTCAAAAAATGAAAAATTATAAAATCTAAAAATTGCATAATAAGTACATACACTGAAAAATCCCAAAACTAAAATTTCGAAAAATTGTCAATTCGAAATTTAAAAAAGCAAGAAATCGTTAAGAAACATTAATAATCTAACTTATTCGTTGTAAAGTCCGACCAAGCAATTCTTTCCCGTAGAAATTATGGTCGAAACTGGTTAGGCCGTGTATCAGATCACGCAACATAGCTTATAGATCAAATCGTTTCTGAGCGCTTAAAGTGGACATTGGCCTGAATCCGCTCTGGTCTGTAGATCAAACAAGTTCTCAGGCGACGTAATAATGATGCTAAATAAAATATTCATTTGTTTGTATTTTACTATTTATAGCGTAATATATTTAAAAAATCTGCATTATTAAAGATTATCACAACTTTTGTAAGTGTTGTACATAAACTTCGGTTTCTTGAATGTGCTCCACAGTTCATTTTTAAAGTTGTGGAAATATTCGCTCAACCCAAAATACACATTTCCCATGTAACCCGATAATTTTCAACTATAGTATTATTTGTCATTTCCTTTTCTTTTTGTTTCGTCAACTTTTTGACCATCGTACCAAGAAAAAAATTCATAGTTGTCTAACAAATTTTTCAGACTTTCTTCTAAAAATGTTCGTCAGAATTAAACAAATATTAGAAACAAGCACCACACAAACCACTTAAAATCCTACTGGATGGTAGACAACCACCATGTTCTTCACACAAACACTTCTTCGGCAGAAATTCATACACAGTGGTCGAATTAGGAACGTGGACTTGTATCTAAAACAAATCTTGTGATTGTAGACTAAAAACTGTCTTAGATTACCTTTTGGTACAATTTGGCCTTCAGGAAATGTTTGAATAGGGCTATTATGTGTTTGGTCAATGGTGTAGCATTCACCAAGTGGATTCCTTTGATCTTCATCGGCGCACCGTTCTGAAAATAAAATTGAAAGTGTCCCACAATCCTAAGTCATCCTTTCTATAATAGAAATAAGTGAGTACCTGCAAGAGTCCGAACACACATCTCAATAAACTGAAGTCGGTTTTGAGGAAATGTCCCACAGAAAAATCTTTCAAATCAATGAGAAGTACCATACCATTTTCGAATCCATTCTGATGACAATGCAACGCTGCAACCATGAAACCCAGCGTAAGAAGATGGGTGCTGTTGAAGTTGCTAACTCGTGAGTCCAGCTGTTTTACCATCAGGACGATATATCCTTCTGGAGTTTTGTTGGGCATGATATTAAGACACCTGAGTACTTATACTATATGATTTTGCAAGTTTTAGCTATCAGTTACTTACGTTACTGACGCAACTGTTTTTAGAACATCCGGTGTGAGTGCTCTGAGGATGTTGAGATGGCGAGTCCGAAACGTGAAATAGTTATCAATGATTTTTTTTGCCTCTTCTTTTTCGTAGTGGCTCTTGTGCAGAAAAGTCAGTATTTGAGTGTCTACAAGAGAGTACTGAAAACTTCAAGACTAACTAAGTAAAAGTTTGAACATACCCTCTACTTTTGGTAGATGTGGCTGAGTTTTCAACCATTTTTGGATTTCTTCCACGTCTTGCTTTTTCAAGTTGGGGTCTTTTTGGTAAAGTTTTTCGGCAGATACGCACTGGAAAGGCATGTCGTGGGAGATTTTTTAGAGGGATATCTCTGACTAGAAACGGTTGATGTTGGGTTTTGTGTTAATAAAAAAACAAAAAGCAAGACTCGAGGATTGATAATATTTTTGTAAGGTCAGGCAATCAGTGCGGTGATACGGATTTACCAACTCCAAGACCTATCACCAATTCCAAAGATCACCGTTACAGTTTGATTAAAAATAAAAACAATAAAAAGCGGAAAAATAAAAAAACGAAACACGCCGAAATGGAAAAACTGAGACACTGAAATAGGCCAAAATAAAAAATCGAAAAATTATAATTGAAAAACTGAACAATCGAAATGTCGAAACATCCAAACGTCGATCAATCGGGAAATCAAACCGTTGAAAAATCGAAAAATTTTAAAATTGAAAAATAAAAAAATCGAAAATCTAAAACCGTGAATTCGAAAAATCGAAAGATGAAAAACCGAAAAATCCCAAAATTGAGAGTCTAAAAAACAACGAAAATTTGAGAAATGGAAAAATCAAAAAAGTGAAGTCGAAAAATCGAAACCTTAAAACAATCGAAAAATTCAAAATTGAAAAATAAAAAAATCGAAAATCTAAAACCGTGAATTCGAAAAATCGAAAGATGAAAAACCGAAAAATCCCAAAATTGAGAGTCTAAAAAACAACGAAAATTTGAGAAATGGAAAAATCAAAAAAGTGAAGTCGAAAAATCGAAACCTTAAAACAATCGAAAAATTCAAAATTGAAAAATCTGAAAAATCGAAACACTGAGGAATTGAAGAACAGGAAAATCGAAAGAGTCGAAACTCAAGAAATGGGAAAATCAAAACATCGATTAACTGAAAACTCGAAAAATCGGAAAATTGGGAGTTCATAATAAAGTCAAATTTGCAAAATTGAAAGATTGAAAAATTGTAAAGCAGAAATCCTAAAACCGGGAAGTCGAAAAATCAAAAGATTGGGAAATCGAAATATTTGAAAAGTTCGAATAATTGAAAAATTGAAATGTCGAAGAACTGAAATGAAAAAGTGAGAAATCGAAAATTTAAATATCGAAAAGGCGAAGAATCGAAATAGTGAAAAATCTCTAAATATGTTTTGAAATATCGAAAAACTGAAAAATGAAAGATAAATTGAAGAATGGAAAAACTGAAAAATTCCAAAACAGAAATACCCAAAAACTGAGAATCTAAAAAATGGAAAAATCAAAAAAGTGAAGTTGAAAAATCGAAACCCTAAAAAAATCGAAAAATTGAAAAATCAAAAACCTGAAAAAGCGGATAACTGAAGAATTGACGAGCTTGAAAATCGAAACAGTCGATTAACTGAAAAATTGAGAATTTAGAAAAGTCAAAAATTGAAAAATTGAAAAATCCAAACATTTAAAATCGTAAAATTGAAGAGAAGAAAAATTGAAAAAACATAAAACTGAACCATCGGAAAATTGAGAAACGGAGAAAACGAAAAAGTGAAATCGAAAAATCGAAACCTTAAAAAAAATTGAAAAATTAAAAAATTGATAAATAAGAAAATTTAAGAATTGAAAAACTGGAAAATCGAAAGTCAAGAAGTGGGAAAATCAAAACATCGATCAATTGAAAAATCGTAAAATTGAAGAGAGGAAAAATTGAAAAAACGTAAAACCGAAACATCGGAAAATTGAGAAACCGAAAAATTGAAAAATTGTGAAATTGTGAAATCGAAAAATTGAATTGTAAACAATGTGAAAAATCCCAAAACTGAAATTTCGAAAAATGGAAAATGAAAGAAAAACTGAAGAATGAAAAAACTGAAAAATCTCAAAACTGAAATATCCAAAAATTGACAAATTAAAAAATTGAAATATTGAAGAATCAAAAAGTCAAAAAAGTGAAGTTGAAAATCAAATCCTTCAAAAATTGAAGAATTGAAGAAATGAAAAATCGAAAAACTTGGAGTTTACAAAAGTCAAATTTGAAAAATTGTAAAAATCGAAAAATGTAAAATTTAAAAAAACTGAAAAATTGATAAATTCACAAATCTAAACTTTAAACACGGAAAAACGAAAAATCGAAACTCCAAAATTTAAAATATCGAAAAATTGAAAAATCGGATAATTCAAAAGTCGAGAAAAGTCGAAGAATCGAAGCAGTGAAAAATCCCAAGACTGAAATATCGAAAAACTGAAAAATGGAAGGAAACCTGGAGAATGGAAAAACTGAAAAATCCCAAAACTGAAATACTAAAAAAATTGAGAATTTAAAAAATTGAAAGACTGAGAAATGGAAAAATCGGAAACGTGAAGTCGAAAAAAAATAAAATATGAAAAATTTAAAAATCAAACACTTGAAAAATGGGAAAATTGAAGAATTGAAGAATTGAAGAATTGGAAAGTTGAACAATCGAATTGGTTTTAATCAAAACATCGATTTATTGAAAAATCGAAAAATTGAGAATATAGAAAAGTCAAAGATTGAAAAATTAAAAAAATCGAAATATTTAAAATCGTAAAATTGAAAAAACGTAAAATTGAAACATCGAAAAATTTACAATCGAGAAAGAAAAACTGGAGAATGGAAAAGCTTAAAAATCTTAAAACTGAGATATCCAAAAACTGAGAATTTAGAAAACTGAAAAATTGAGAAATCAAAAAGTCAAAAAGCGAAAAATTGAAGAATTGAAAAATGAAAAATCGGAAAATTGAGAAATCAAAAAACTGAAAATCGATAAATTGAAAAATTGTAAAATCGAAAAACTGAATAATAAATAAACTGAAAAAACCCAAAAGTGAAATTTCGAAAAACGGAAAAATGAAAGAAAAACTGAAAGATCCCAAACCTGAAAAATTAACAAATTGAAAAATTGAGAAATCGAAAAATCAAAAAAGTGAAGTCGAAAAATGGAAAAGTGAAAAATCGGAACCAAAAGTCAAGAAATCGGAAAATCAAAACATCGATTAATTGAAAAATCGAAAACTGAGAATTTAGAAGAGTCAAAAATTGAAAAATCGAAACATTTAAAAATGGTATAATTGAAGAGGAAAAAAATTAATTGAAACAGCGAAAAATTGAGAAATCGAAAAATTGAATAATTAATAAGTGAAAAATCTCGGAACTAAAATAACCAAAAACTAAGAAATTAAAAAACTGAAACATTGAGAAATCAAAAAGTCAAAAAAGTGAAGTCGAAAAATCCAAACTGTAAAAAATTGAAAAATTGAAAAATCAGAAACCCAAAAATCGAAAAATTGAAGAATTGAAAAATCAGAAATCGAAAAACTAAGAATTTATAAAAGTCAAATTTGAAAAATTGAAAAATCGAAATGTTTAAAAATCGTAAAATTGAAGAGAAAAATTGAGAAATCGAGAAATGAAAAATTGGGAAATTGTAAAATCGAAAAATTTAATAATAAGTAACTGAAAAATCCCAAAACTGAAATTTCGAAAAATTGAAAATGACAGAAAAACTGAAGAATGGAAAGACCAAAAAATCTCAAAACTGAAATAACCAAAATCTGAGAAATTAAAAAACTGAAAAATTGAGAAATCAAAAAGTCAAAAAGTGAAGTCGAAATATTCCAACCGTAATAACTTGCAAAATTGAAAAACCAAGAACCGAAAAAATTGAAACATTGAAGAACAGGAAAAACGAAAAATCGAAATATTTAAAATATCGTAAATTGGAAAAACCGTTAAACTGAACCACCGGAAAATTGAGAAACTGAAAATCGATAAATTGAAAAACTGTAAAATCGAAAAATTGAATAATAAATAAACTGAATAACCCAAAACTGAAATTTCGAAAAACGGAAAAATGAAAAAAAAACCGTAAAGATCTCAAAACTGAAATATCCAAAATCTGAAAAATTGAAAAATCGAAAAATCAAAAAGTGAAGTCGAAAAATAGAAACCTTATAAATTAGAAAAATCAAAAAATCAAAAACCTGAAAAATCGAAAAAATGAAGAATTGAAAAACTGAAAAATCGAAACATCAAAAACCAAGAAATGGGAAAATCAAGACATCGATTAATTGAAAAATAGGAAAATTAATAGTTTAAAAAAGTCAAGTTAGAAAAATTGAAAAATTAAAATACCAGAAAATTGAAAAAAATTAAATTTAAAAATCGAAAAAGTAAAAAAATCGACTCATCAAAAAATCCAAAAGTCAAAATCGAAATATTGAAAAATCCCTAAATATATTTTGAAATATCGAGAAACTGAAAAATCAAAGAAATATTGAAGAATGGAGAAACTGAAAAACTGAGAAAATAGAAAATTGAAAAATCAAAAAGATGAAGTTGAAAAATCGAAACCTTAAAAAAATCGTAAAATTGAACAATAAAAAAATCTGAAAAAACCGATAATTGAAGAATTGAGGAATTGGAAAACCGAAACAGTTGAAAGTGAAGAAATGAGAAAATCAAAATATCGATTAATTGGAAATTTGAAAAAATTGAAAGATTGAAAAATTGAAAAATCCAAATATTTGAAAATCCTAGAATTGAAGAGAAGAAAAATGGAAAAAACGTAAAACTGAAACATCGGAAAATTGAGAAACCGAAAAATTGAAAAATTGGGAAATTGTAATGTCGAAACATTGAATTATAAACAATCTGAAAAATCCCAAAATTGAAATTTCAAAAAATGGAAAATGAAACAAAAACTGAAGAATGGAAAAACTGAAAAATCCCAAAACTGAAATATTTATATACAAAAAAATTGAAAAATCGAAAAATGAAAAATTAAAAAAAACCGAAAAATTGAAAAATTCAAAAATCTATGATTTAAAAAGGCAAAACCAGAAATCGAAACTCCAAAATTTAAAAAATCGAAAAATTGAAAAATCGGTCCATTGAAAAATTGATAAAAGTCGAAGAATCGAAATATTGAAAAATCCCAAGGCTGAAATCTCGAAAAACTGAAAAATGGAAGAAAAACTGATGACTGGAAAAACTGAAAAATTCCAAAACTGCAACATCGAAAAAAGTTGGAAATTAAAAAATTGAAAAATTGAGAAATGGAGAAATCGAAAAAGTGAAGTCGAAAAATCGAAACCTTAAAAAAAAACTGAAAAATGGGAAAATTAAAGAATTGAAAAATTGGAAAATAGAAACAGTCCAAAGTCAAGAAATGGGGAAAAACACCGATTAATTGAAAAATCGAAAAATTGAGAATTTAGAAAAGTAAAAAATTTAAAAATTGAAAAATCGAAATATGTATTTAAAAATCGTAAAATTGAAGATAAGAAAAATTCAGAAATCGAGAAATGAAAAATTGGGAAATTGTAAAATCGAAAAATTTAATCTCAAGTAACTGAAAAATTCCAAAACTGAAATTTCGAAAAATTGAAAAATGAAAGAAAAATTGAAAGGTCCCAAAACTGAAGTATCCAAAAACGAGAAATTAAAAAATTGAAAAATTAAGAAAACGAAAAATCAAAAAAGTGAAGTCGAAAAAGCTATACCTTAAAAAATAGAAAAAAACTTGAAAATCGAAAAATTGAAAAATTGAAAAACTGAAAAATAGAGACAGTCGAAACTCAAGGAATGGAAAAATCAAATCGATTGAGAAGTCAAAAAACTAAAAATCGAAAAATTGAAAAATTATAAAATCTAAAAATTGCTTAATAAATAAACTGAAAAATCGCAAAACTACTGAAAATTTGAAAGTTGAAAAAGCAAGATATCGTTAAGAAGACGCTAAAAAAATACGAACCTGGTTTGAAATTTAATGTTTATTATCTCAAAAATCGTCAAAATTTCAGTTGAAAGTCAAAAAAAAAGTTTCTATCTTCGTCGAAAGCAAGTTATTTCCTAAACAAAAACTCTTTTTGAAAAAAAAAGTAATTACTGATCACGTCTATATTCACATTTTCACTTCAATAGTGGTTTCACAATAGCGATGAAAGCTTCCAATCCTTCCTTATTAGCTTCATACCCGGGCAAACACTCCGCCCTTTTAAGATAGCCCGCCAACTTCGGATACTTGGACTCTTCTATCTTAACAGCAGCATTGAAAGAAGTCAGACTCGATATGAAACTAAAGTCCGCAATAGTGACACTATCTCCAGCAATCCACTCTCTACCTTCTAGAAAAGTCTCCACGAAAGAGTAAACTCCATGAGCCGAATCTATGTCTTTCTGATCTACATTATTTTTTCCTTGAAAAATCATTGGTCGCTAAGGGATTAAAACAATTACAAGAATAGGCGTCACTTGTTTGAAAATACGTACCAAAATTTGTGTCAATGTTCTAAAAACTACACTGCTGTCAAAATGGAGTCGTTGATCCACAAGTGCTCTAGTTTTGATATCAGAGGGATAAAGAGAGTCGCTTGTGGCATATTTGGAAACGAGATAGGCCATTATGGCATGGCTGTCCCATAGAACGTACCCATCGTCGTCCACCAGAGTTGGAAGCGAGTGTTGCGGGTTCATCTAAATCACAAATCTAGAGTTTTCCACCAAAAACAACTACTTACTTTAAGAAATTTGGGGGTTTTGTGTTCTTCTTTGAACAAATTGACCTGCTGCAAGTCCAGATTTAAACCAATTGTTTTGGCAGCCATGAGGACTGATCGTACCGGGGGACTGGCAGGGGTTATGTACAGTGTTGGTGCCATGGTGTAATGATAATTTGCACAAGTGGTCGTTCTTATCTAAGTTACGTGGTGATAACTAAGACAGACATATAGATAAGGGATTGAAAAAACTTAAGACAACAAAGTGCAATTTATATATTAAGAAAGCCTTTGTTTCACGGAACTAACGAAAACATCGAGACCTTTCTTACTAACATCATACACCGGCAAACCTTCAGCTCTCTTAAGATAAGCAACCAAATCGGGATACTTGGTGGCTTCAATTTTGACCAGAACATCCAAAGAAGTGAGCGTCGTTATGGTACTAAAATCAGCAATGGTGACAGAATCCCCGGCCACCCATTTTCTACCATCCAGGAAACTTTCCACAAACGAGTAGATTTCATTGACTGCTTCCACATCCGTCGGATCTACGTGTTTCTTTCCTTGGTGGACAATGGGCAGCTAAGTACCAAAAACAAACATAAATTAACGTAATCAGTCTATACTTATGACCTACCCACCCAAATTTGTAAAAGTTTGGCGAAGGATACGCTACTATCAAAATGTAGCCTTTGGTTCACGAGAGCCCGTTCCTTGAGTCCCGAAGGGTACAAAGAACTGTCTTTACCATACTTCGAAAGTAGGTACGGCATTATGGCATGACTGTCCCATAAAACGTATCCGTCTTCATCCACTAAAGTCGGTACTGTGTGTTGTGGGTTCAGCTAAAGAATAGGTGAAAATAGGGTCTAGATCTATAGAAATGTTACCTTTAGAAATTCGGGTGTTGTGTGTTCTCCGGCACTCATATCAAGTGTCTTTAGTTCCAAATTTAGCCCAATTGCTTTGGCTGTCATTAGGACAGCTCGTACCGGGGAGCTCGCTGGGATCACATAGAGTGTAGGTGCCATGGTGTCAAGGAAAAATGACAAGACGCGGCGTTATATTTGGTCATTTTTGTTCTACCGCTAAGTCACAAGGTTATCAGTAAGGGTCAAAAGATAGATGAGTTAGCATTTTTGTGTGTCCTGCTGTGTTGTTGTTGTTATCTAACCACTGATAACTAAAGTAAATCAATAAATTTAATTTATTTTACATGTAAGTATATGTTTACAAATACTTCAAGCCAATCTTGATTTAATGAGAGCAACGTAACCGTCGAATCTGTTCCTGGTGGCCTGGCACTCACGCAATGACTCCGTTTTCTCAAGATAAGCCACCAATTTCGGATATTTGGTCGCTTCTATTTTGATAATAACATCAAGAGAAGTCAAGGTCGTAATAAAACTAAAGTCTGCTATGGTCACAGAATCCCCAGCTATCCACTGCTTGCCTTCTAGGAAGCTTTCGACAAAAGAGTAGACTTCGTGTACCGCATCGACGTGTTCTTGCAGTATTTCCTTTTTTCCATGGTAGATAATGAGAAAGCAAAAAGTCAAAAAAGTAAAGTTAAAAGTGAAGTCCTGCAAAAATTGAAAAACTAAAAAATTTAAAACCTAAATTTTGAATAATAGAAAAATTGAAAAAATGAAAAATAGAAAAACTTTTAGAGTTTATAGAAGTCAAATTTGAAAAATTGAAAAATCTAAAAATGTAAAATTTAGAAAATCGAAAAGTTGAAAAATTGATAAAAAGTCGAAGAATCGACATACTGAAAAATCCCAAGTTTGAAACGTAAAACCGGAACATCGGAAAATTGAGAAACCGAAAAATTGAAAAATTGAGAAATTGTGAAATCGAAAAATTGAATTATAAACAATGCGAAAAATCCCAAAACTGAATTTCAAAAAATGGAAAATGAAAGAAAAACTGAAGAATGAAAAAACTGAAAAATCTCAAAACTGAAATATCCAAAAATTGAGAAATTAAAAAATGAAATATTGAAGAATCAAAAAGTCAAAAAAGTGAAGTTGAAAATCAGGTCCTTCAAAAATTGAAGAATTGAAGAAAATAAAAATCGAAAAATGTATAATTTAAAACACTGAAAAATTGATAAATTCACAAATCTAAACTTTAAACACGGAAAAACTAAAAATCGAAACTCCAAAATTTAAAAAAACGAAAAATTGAAAAATCGGATTATTCAAAAATTGAGAAATAGTGAAAAATCCCAAGACTGAGATATCGAAAAACTGAAAAATGGAAGCAAAAGTGAGAAATGGAAAAATCGAAAAAGTGAAATCAAACACTTGAAAAATGAAATTGAAGAATAATAATTAACTGAAAAACCCCAAAACTGATTTCTAAAAATTGAAAAATTAAAGAAAAACTGGAGAATGGAAAAGCTTAAAAATCTCAAAACTGAAATACCCAAAAACTGAGAAATTAAAAAACGGAAAAATTGAGAAATCGAAAAGTCTAAAAGCGAAGTCGAAATATCCCAACCGTAATAACTTGAAAAATTGAAAAACCAAAAACCAAAAAAATTGAAAAATTGAAGAATTGAAAAATGAAAAATCGAAAAACTGGGAGTTTAAGTCAAATTCTAAAAATTGAAAAATAGAAATAACTAAAAATCGTAAAATTGAAAAATAGAGAAATCAAAAAACTGAAAATCGATAAATTGAAAAATTGTAAAATCGCAAAACTGAATAATAAAGAAGCTGAAAACACCCAAAACTGAAATTTCGAAAAACGGAAAAATGTATGAAAAACTTAAAGATCCCAAAACTGAAAAATTAACAAATTGAAAAATTGAGAAATCGAAAAGTCAAAAAAGTGAAGTCGAAAACTGAATAATCGAAACCGAAAGTGAAGAAATCGGAAAATCAGAACGTCGATTAGTTGAAAAATAAACAGAAAAATTAAGAAATCAAAATGTCAAAAACGTGAAGTCGAAAAATCCAAACTGTAAAAAATTGAAAAATTGAAAAATCAGAAACCCAAAAATCGAAAAATTGAAGAATTGAAAAATCAAAAATCGAAAAACTAAGAGTTTATAAAAGTCAAATTTAAGAAAAATTAAAAAATCGAAATATTTAAAAATCGTAAAATTGAAGAAGAGAAAAATTGAGAAAGCGAGAAATGAAAAATTGAGAAATTGTAAAGTCGAAAAATTTAATAATAAATAACTGAAAAATTCCAAAACTGAAATACCCAAAATCTGAGAAATTAAAAAACTGAAAAACTGAGAAATCAAAAAGTCAAAAAGTGAAGTCGAAATATTCCAACCGTAATAAATTGCAAAACTGAAAAACCAAAAACCGAAAAAATTGAAACATTGAAGAACAGGAAAAATGAACAATCGAAATATTTAAAATATCGTAAATTGGAAAAACCGTTAAACTGAAACATCGGAAAATTGAGTAATCAAAAAACCGAAAATCGATCAATTGAAAAATTGTAAAATCGAAAAATTGAATAATAAATAAACTAAAAAATCCAAAACTGAAATTTCGAAAAACGGAAAAATGAAAAAAATACTGAAAGATTTCAAAACTGAAATATCCAAAATCTGAAAAATTAACAAATTGAAAATTGAGAAATCGAAAAATCAGAAAAGTGAAGTCGAAAAATAGAAACCTTAAAAATTAGAAAAATCAAAAAATCAAAAACCTGAAAAATCGAAAAAATGAAGAATTGAAAAACTGAAAAATCGAAACATCAAAAGCCAAGAAATGGAAAAATTAAAACATCGATTAATTGAAAATCGGAAAATTAATAGTTTAAAAAAGTCAAGTTAGAAAAATTGAAAAATTAAAATACCAGAAAATTGAAAAATTTAAAATTCAAAAATCGAAAAAGTAAAAAAATCGACTCATCGAAAAATCCAAAAGTCAAAATCGATATATTGAAAAATCCCTAAATATATTTTGAAATATCGAAAAACTGAAAAATCAAAGAAATATTGAAGAATGGAAAAACTGAAAAACTGAGAAAATAGAAAATTGAAAAATCAAAAAAACGAAGTTGAAAAATCGAAACCTTAAAAAAATCGAAATACTGAATAAGCAAAAATCTGAAAAAGCGGAAAATTGAGAAACCGAAAAATTGAAAAATTGGGAAATTGTAATGTCGAAACATTGAATTATAAACAATCTGAAAAATTTCAAAACTGAAATTTACAGTTTATAGAACCCACATTTGAAAAATTGAAAAATCGAAAAATCTAAAATTTAAAAAACGGAAAAATTGAAAAATTCAAAAATGTATAATTTAAAAAGGCAAAACCAGAAATTGAAACTCCAAAATTTAAAAAAACGAAAAATTGAAAAATCAGACCATTGAAAAATTGATAAAAATCGAAGAATCGAAATATTGAAAAATCCCAAGACTGAAAAATGGGAAAATTGAAGAATTGAAAAATTGGAAAATAGAAACAGTCCAAATTCAAGAAATAGGAAAATCAAAACACCGATTAATTGAAAAATCGAAACATTGAGAATATAGAAAAGCCAATAATTTGAAAATTGAAAAATCGAAATATTTAAAAATCGTAAAATTGAAGAGGAGAAATTGAGAAATTGTAAAATCGAAAACTTTAATAACAAGTAACTGAAAACTTCCAAAACTGAAATTTCGAAAAATTGAAAAATGAAAGAAAAACTGTCCCAAAACTGAAGTATCCAAAATTAACAAATTAAAAAATTGAAAAATTAAGAAATCGAAAAATCAAAAAAATGAAGTCGAAAAAGCGAAACCTTAAAATTAGAAAAAAACTTGAAAATCGAAAAATTGAAAAATTGAAAAACTGAAAAATAGAGACAGTCGAAACTCAAGAAATGGGAAAATCAAATCGATTGAGAAGTCGAAAAACTGAAAATCGAAAAATTGAAAAATTATAAAATCTAAAAATTGCTTAATAAATAAACTGAAAAATCGCAAAACTACTGAAAATTCGAAAGTTGAAAAAGCAAGATATCGTTAAGAAGACGCTAAAAAAATACGAACTTGGTTGGAAATTTAATGTTTATTATCTAGATGAGTTAGCACTTTTGTGTGTCCTGCTGTGTTGTTGTTGTTGTTGTTATCTAACCACTGATAACTAAAGTAAATCAATAAATTTAATTTATTTTACATGTAAGTATATGTTTACAAATACTTCAAGCCAATCTTGATTTAATGAGAGCAACGTAACCGTCGAATCTATTCCTGGTGGCCTGGCACTCACGCAATGACTCAGTTTTCTCAAGATAAGCCACCAATTTCGGATATTTGGTCGCTTCTATTTTGATAATAACGTCAAGAGAAGTCAAGGTCGTTATGAAACTAAAGTCTGCTATGGTCACAGAATCCCCAGCTATCCACTGCTTGCCTTCTAGGAAACTTTCGACGAAAGAGTAGACTTCGTGTACCGCATCGACGTGTTCTTGCAGTATTTCCTTTTTTCCATGGTAGATAATGGGTCTCTGCAAATCTAAAGTCAAACCAACCAGCTACTTAGTGTTTTGGTGACTATTTACCAGAACCAACTTCGTCGTTGCCCAAGCCACACCACTGTCGAAATGCAACCTCTGATCAACTAAAGCCCGTTTTGTCGCGTTTTTGGGGTACAGAGTGTCGTCTTTGGCGTACTTGGAGAGCAAATAGGGCATGATGGCGTGGCTGTCCCATAAGATGAAGCCGTTTTCGTCTACCAAGGTTGGAACGGTGTGTTGCGGGTTTAACTACCGTTGGAAGGATTTTTTCATTAATTAAATAAGTGTGTGTGAAAATCTTACTTTCAGAAATTCGGGTTTCTTGTGTTCTGCTTTCAGCAAATTGACCTCCTTGAGTTGCAGATTTAGTCCGATTGACTCGGCGGTCATCAGGACGGAGCGCGCAGGAGGGCTTATAGAAATCAGGTACAGAATCGGTGCCATGGTGATCTGATTAGCGATGATTTCGAACTGCGTGGTTTGATGTTTTTCCTGTTGGAGTTGCGTATGTGTGGAAGGTCAACATAAGTAATTAGATCTGAAAACCTGTATTTATGCACGCACGCACTCAAATAGATTAAGTAATTTGCATTTATGTCAACAATGGTTTACAAGAGCAACGAAAGATTCCAACTCTTCTCTAGTCGCCTGAGAACTTGTTTGATCCATAAACCAGAGCGCACTCAGGCCAATGTCGACTCTAAGCGTTCAGAAACGGTTTGATCCGTAAGCCATGTTTCGTGATCTGATACACATCCTAACCCGTTTCGACCATAATTTCTATGGGAAACTCACTTTTTCTCCTCTTAAATTTTACGATTTTTCAATTTGTCGTTTTTTTAACGTTTCGATTTGTCGACTTCATTTATTAATTTTTCAAGATTTCGTTTCTTCGACTTTTGATTTTTTTTTGACTTTTGGATTTTTCGATGTGTCGATTTTTTTCTCTTTTTGATTTTTCAGTTTTCTATTTTTTAATTTCTCAATTTTTGGATATTTCAATTTTGGGATTTTTCAAGTTTTCGAAATTTTGGTTTTGAGATTTTTCAAGTTATTGAAAATATTTTTTCGATTTTACATTTCTCAATTTTTCAATTTTTCGATTTTCCAATTTTCCGATGATTCAGTTTTAAGTTTTTTCAATTTTTCTCCTCTTCAATTTTACGATTTTTCAATTTTTGACTTTTCTATGTTCTTAATTTTTTGATTTTTCAATTAATCAATGTTTGACCGTTTCGATTTTCCAGTTCTTCATTTTTTCAGTTTTTGATTTTTCAATTTGTCGTTTTTTTAACGTTTCACTTTTACGACTTCACTCTTTTGATTTTTCAATATTTCGATTCTTCGACTTTTCGATATGTCGATTTTTTTACCTTTTCGTGACCTTTATGTTGTATTAGTTGTCATAAGATTTATTTCTTATTTCAGAAGAAAAAAAATGAGAGAATGGGTGGGTGGGCGGGGCTAAGTTTAGCTTTCTCCTAAAGAGTCTTTTATAGGCAAGCAATAGCCCCGCCCATTCCAGTTATTACTCCTAATATTGTTCAGTTTTTTCGTTACAAGTACTAGCCCCACCCATCCTCCCTCTATTTTTTTGGAGACCAATTTTATGTCTGTATAAGATCCACCTTTCATTCAGAGTAGATAAATTTAATAACCGAAATGGAGACGGGTGGGTGGGCGGAGTTAGTTATATTATATGTTCTTCTCTTGACTGGGAGTCGGAAGTAATAGAAATTAGGCTGTAAAAAAGCGCTAATCTTGACTTTTTTGTTGTATTATTTGTCATAAGATTTATTTCTTGGGCGGGGCTAAGTTTAGCTTTCTCAAGTACTAGCCCCCCCTCTATTTTCTTAGAGGTATGTCATTTGCCAAAATCAGTCTTATCTTAACAAGTACTAGCCATCCTCACTCTCCCTCTTCTTATTTTAGAGACTAATTTCACTTCTGTCTAATTTGTCGATTTTTCCATTAATCCATGTTTGGATTTTCCCATTTCTTGACTTTCGATTGTTTCGATTTTCCAGTTCTTCAAATTCCATTTTTCGACTTATTTTTTTGATTTTTCGATTTCACAATTTTTCAATTTTTTAAATTCTCAGTTTTTGGATATTTCAGTTTTGGGATTTTTCAGTTTTTCCATTCTTCAGTTTTTTTTCATTTTTCAGTTTTTCGATATTTCAGTTTTGAGATTTTTCAATATTTGGACTCTTCGACTTTTTGATTCTTGACTTCTCGATTATTCGATGTGCAGATTTTTTTACTTTTTCGATATTTCAATTTTTCGATTTTTAGATTTTAAATTTTTTGATTTCTCGATTTTTCATTTTAATTCTTCTATATTTCAATTTTTCAATTTATCGAGTTTTTCGTTTTTTCAAATTTTCGATTTTTCAAGTTCCTGGGGTTAGATAGAAAATCTATCTTTTCAATTTTTCGTATTTTTAAATTGTCGATTTTTCAATTTTACTTTTATAAACTCCCAATTTTTCGATTTTTCAATTAATCAATGTTTTCATTGTCTTATTTCTTGACTTCTGACTGTATTGATTTTCCAGTTCTTCAATTCTTCAATTTCTTTGTTTTTCATGTTTTTGGTTTTCCAGTTTTTCCATTTTTTTAGGTTTCGGCTTTTGGACTTCACTTTTTTGATTTTTCGATTTCTCAATTTTTCAGCTTTTTAATTTCTCAGTTTTTGAATATTTCAGTTTTGAGATTTTTCAGTTTTTCTTTCATTTTTCATTTTTCGAAATTTCAGTTTTGTGATTTCGGTTTATTTATTATTAAATTTTTCGATTTTACAATTTCTGAATTCTTCAATTTCACGATTTTCAATTTTCCGATGTTTCAGTTTTACGTTTTTCCAATTTTTCTCGTCTTACTTTTACGTTTTTAAATACATATTTCGATTTTTCATTTCTTCAATCCTTCAATTTATAGGTTTTTGATTTTTCAATTTTTCAATTTTTTAAGGTTTTGATTTTTCGGTTTTTATTTATTTCAATACAGTGCCCAACGGGATTAAAGCCCAATAACAGGACAAGGTTATAATACATAAATTAAAATACAATATTACAAAACAAAACAAAAATTGATCAACAAGGCAAAACAAAAATTGAGGAATTATAACATATGCAGTTTCACTTTTTTAACTTTTTGATTTCTCAATTTTTCAATTTTTTTAGTTTATCATTTTTTGGATATTTCAGTTTTGAGATTTTTCAGTTTTTCCATTCTTCAGTTTGTCTTAATCTTTCGATTTTTCAACTTGCTGGTTTTAAATTTTCTGTTTTTAAATTTTTCGGTTTTTCAGATTTTCGATTTTTCAATTTTTCAAATTTGACTTTTATAATCTCTCAATTTTTCGATTTTTCAATTAATCAATGTTTTGATTTTTCTATTTCTTGTTTTCCCACTGTTTCAATTTTCCAGTTCTTCAATTCTTCAATTTTTCGATATTTGGGGTTTTTGATTTTTCAGTTTTTCCATTTTCTTAGGTTTCGAATTTTAGACTTCACTTTTTTGATTTTTCGATTTCTGAATTTTTCAATTTTTTAGATTCTCACCTTCTGCATATTTCGGTTTTGGGTTTTTTCAATATTTCGATTCTTCGACTTTTCGATTTTTGACGTCTGAATTTTTCGGTGTGGCGATTTTTTTACTTTCTCGGTTTTTAAGTTTTAGATTTTTGAAATTTTTGTATTTTAAATTTTCAATTTTTAAAATTTCAGATTTTTCGATTTCAGAATCTTTCGATTTTTCGACTTTCCGGTTTGAGATTTTCTCTTTTTCAATTTTTCGTTTTTTCGATTTATCGAATGTGGATGTTTCGATATTTTGATTGTTCAGTTTCTCGATTTTCGTTTTTTTATTTTTCTGTTTTTAGATTTTTCGATTTTCTAATTTTGCAAATTTTGACGTTGCGTATTTTCGATTTTGGCTTATTTCGGTTTCTCAATTTTTCGACTTTTCGACTTCTCGATTTCTCGATCTTTTGATTTTTCGATTTCTCGGTTTTTCGAGTTTTTACTTTTTGGATTTTCGGTTTTTCGATGTTCCCATTTTTCAGTTTTTCGATTTTTTAAGGTTCTGATTTTTCGACTTCACTTTTTGACTTTTTTATTTCTGAATTTTTCAATTTTTTAATTTCCCAGTTTTTGAATATTTGGAGAATATTTATTATTCAATTTTTCGATTTTACAACTTCTCGATTTTCAGTTCTTCAATTTTTCAATTTTTCTATTTTTCAGGTTTTTGATTTTTCAATTTTTCAATTTTTTAATGTTTCGACTTCACGTTTTTCGTTTTTCAATTTCTCAATTTTTCAAATTTTTAATTTCTCAGTTTTTGGATGTTTCAGTTTTTGGATTTTTCAGTTTTTCTTTCATTTTTCAATTTTTCGATATTTCAGTTTTCCGATTTTTCAGTTTATTATTATTATTCAATTTTTCGATTTTATAATTTCTCAATTCTTGAATATCACGAATTTCAATTTTTCGATTTCCCAATTTTCCGATGTTTAAATTTTACGTTTTTCGCGATTTTCTCCTTATCAGTTTTACAATTTTTAAATATTTTCGATTTTTCAATTCTGCAATTCTTTAATCTTTCAATTTTTTAGATTTTTGATTTTGAATTTTTCAATATTATAAGGTTTTAATTTTTCGACTTCACTGTTTTAACATTTTGATTTCTCCATTTTTCAATTTTTTTATTTCTCAGTTTTTGGATACATACCTATTTCACTTTTGAGATTCTTCGGTTTTTCCATTCTTCAATTTTTTTAGATTTTCCGTCGTTATTTTTTTTGATTTCTCGATTTTCCAATTTTTCCATTTTTTTGGTTTTTAAAGTTTTTCAATTCTTCAGTTTTTCAACATTTTAGTTTTAGGAATTTTCAATATTTCGATTCTTCGGTTTTTCAATTTTTGACTTCTGGATTTTTCGTTCCGTCGATTTTTATATTTTAATTTTTCAATTTTTAAAATTGCAGATTTTTCGATTTCTCAATTTTTATTACAGTTTTCCGATATTTCAATTTTTCAGTTTTTCGAATTTTCCGTTTTTTCAAATTTTCGATTTTTCAACTTGACTTGCGGTTGTTTCGATTTTCCAGTTCGTCAGTTTTTTGGAATTTTTCAGTTTTTCCATTCTGCAGTTTTTCTTTAATTTTTCAGTTTTTCGATATTTCAGTTTTGGAATTTTTCAATATTTCGATTCTTCGATTTTGTTTTTTGACTTCTGGATTTTTCGATGTGTCGATTTTTTTACTTTTTCGATTTTTCTATTCTTCCATATTTCAATTTTTTATGATTTCGAATTTTTCAAATGAAGGCAAATTTCTTAATCTTTCGATTTTTTGACTTCCCGGTTTTAGTTTTTCTGTTTTTCAATTTTTCGTTTTTCAAATTTTCGACTTTTTAGTTTTCCATTTTTAAAATTTATCGATTTTTAATTGTTTTGATTTCCCAATTTATCGAGATTTGGATGTTTCGATTTTTTAATTATTCAGTTTTTCGATTTACCAGTTTTTCAATTTACAACTTTTCGATTTTTTTTATTTCTCAGTTTTTCTATTTTTCCGTTTTTTGTTTTTTTATTTTTCCGCTTTTGGATTCTTCGATTTTCTAGTTTTTCAACTTTTAACTTTTCGTATTTTCGATTTTACCCTATTTCGATTTCTCAATTTTTGATTTTTTGGCTTCATGACTTTCGGATTTCTCGATCTTTTGATATATTTCAATTTTTCGAATTTTTCAATTTTTTACTTTTCGATATTTTCATTTTGGCCTATTTCGGTTTCTCAAATTTTCGACTTCTCGACTTTTCAATTTTTCAGTTTTACGATTTTTTTGTTTCGATTTCTTTAGATTTTAGATTTTTTAGATCTTTAGATTTTTCGATCTGTAAGATTTTTCGATTTTTAATTTTCTGGATTTTTCAGGTTTCCAATTTTTCAAAATTTCGATTATTTTAATTATTTATTTTTTTTCTGCATATATTCGATATATTGATATCGAAAATAACCACAAAAATTGTCACTAAAAACATTTAAAAATGCATACAAAGTAGAACACAGTGTTTCCAAAATATAAACATAACCATTTTCCCAAAAAAAATCCTTTGTATATATAGTATAAATACTATTGGACACCAGTATTTGTGCACAAAAAAATATAGCATTATGTTTTTTATGGTATATTTAGCTTACAATTTTTTAAGCCAACAAAGGTGTAACAAGAGCAACGAAATCAGCGAACCCATTCTTAGTAGCTTGGACCACAGCCAAAGTCTCCGCTTTCTTAAGATAAGCTGCTAGTTTCGGGTATTTTGAACCTTCTACTTTAACAACAACACCAAGGGCATTCAAAGTCGATATGGTACTAAAGTCGGCAATGGTGACAGAATCTCCAGCTACCCATTGCTTCCCTTCTAGGAAGCTTTCGACGAAAGAGTAGATTTCATGTACTGCATCTATGTGTTCTTGAGCTACCCCTTTTTTTCCTTCGTAGATGAGGGGACGCTGCAAACGTAAAAGTTAACACCAAGAACCTAGTTTGTTTAATGAATGAATACCAAAATCAACAAAGCCCTTGCCCATGCCACGCCACCGTCAAAATGTAGCCTTTGATCAACTATAGCCCTTTTTTTCGGATCTTTGGGGTATAAAGCATCGTTTTTGCCGTATTTGGAAAGGAGGTAGGGCATGATGGCGTGGCTGTCCCATATGGTGTACCCATCGTCGTCCACTAAGGTTGGAAGGGTGTGTTGTGGATTCAACTATCATCATTGGAATAACATGTCATTACTTAATATAGCACTGATGAAAAACTTACTTTCAGAAATTCGGGAGTTTTGTGTTCTCCTTTCACCAAATTGACCGGCTTGAGTTCCAGATCTAGTCCGATTGACTTGGCGGTCATCAAAACGGCACGTACCGGAGGGCTGGCCGAAAGCGTGTACAGAGTCGGAGCCATGGTGTGTATCTAACCTAGATCTGACTAAAAGTGATCTTTAAACAATGACTTGTTGATTTTCCTTATATATCTCCGGAGGTCACCAATAATAAAAATTTAGTTGCTGCGATAATTTTAAGAAGTGTACCTCGCTCGATTAAAATTAGTGTGTCACTCAATACGGCTGATGCAACTAATAGTATTTTGTTGTAAATACAAACATCAACAATAATCAATATAAAAACGAAAAATAATCCACCGAATCAGTATGCAAACCGCGCTCCTGCCCTGCCCCATCATTCCTGAAATAAAATAACTTGACAATTATTTTAAATGTTAAAAGGTAACATAATCGCGAACTTGTGGTTTAATAATCTGTGTTGAATTTTTTTTCTTGACATTGAGATTTTTCATTTTTCGGCTTTTCGATTTCTTGCTTTTTCAACTTTCGAATTTTCGGTTTTCCGAAATTTTAGTTTTGGAATTTTTCAATTTATTCATTATGCAATTTTTGGATTTCATAATTTTTCAAATTTTCGATTTTCAGTTTTTCAATTTCTCAATTTTCCGATGTTTAAGTTTTACGTTTTTTCAATTTTTCCCCTCTTCAATTTTACGATTTTTCAATTTTTGACTTTTGTAAACCCTCAATTTTTTTGATTTTTCATGAAATCGATGTTTTGATTTTCTCATTTCTTGACTTTCGACTGTTTCGATTTTTCAAGTTTTGAATTTTCCCATTTTTCGATTTTTCAGATTTTTGATTTTTCAATTTCTCTATTTTTTAAGGTTTCGATTTTCCGACTTCAAGTTTTTGATTTTTCGATTTCTCCATTTTTCGATTTTTTTATTTGTTTTTCTTTAATTTTTCAATTTTTCGAAATTTCAGTTTTGGAATTTCTCAGATTGTTTATTATTCAGTATTTCGAATTTACAATTTCTAAACTCTTCAACTATACGATTTTCAATTTTTCGATTTCTCACCTTTCCCATGTTTCAATTTTACGTTTTTCCAATTTTTCAAATTTGACTTTATAAACTCTCAGTTTTTCTGTTTTTCATTTCTTCAATTCTTCAATTTTTCAGCATTTTAGGTTTTTGATTTTTCAATTTTTTAAATTTTTTAACGTTTTGATTTTTTTACTTCACTTTTTTAACTTCTCAATCTTTCAATTTTTTTTAATTTCTCAGTTTTTGGATATTACAGTATTGAGATTTTTCAGTTTTTCCATTTTTCAGTTTTTCTCTAATTTTTCAATTTTTTGAAATTTCAGTTTTGGGATTTTTCAAATTATTTATTATTCAATTTTTTGGATTTTGCAGTTTCTCAATTTTGCTATTTCTCGATTTTCAGTTTTTCGATTTTACAATATCTCTATTTTTCAATTTTTGAACTTTGACTTTTATAAACTCTCAGTTTTTTTATTTTTCATTTCTTCAATTCTTTAATTTTTCAGTTTTTAGGTTCTTGATTTTTCAATTTTTTAAGATTTTTATTTTTCGACTTCATTTTTTAACTTTTTTGGATATTTCAGTATTAAGATTTTTTCAGTTTTTCTCTAATTTTTCAATTTTTCTAAATTTCATTTTTGAGACTTTTCAGATTATTTATTATTCAATTTTTTGGGTTTTGCAATTTCTCAACTTTTCAATTTCTCGATTTCTCGATTTTCCGATGTTCCAATTTGCGTTTTATCAATTTTTCTCCTTTTCAATTTTGCGATTTTTAAATATCTCTATTTTTCAATTTTCAACTTTGTCTTTATAAACTCTCAGTTTTTCAATTTTTCATTTCTTCAATTTTTTAATTTTTCCGTTTTTAGGTTTTTGATTTTTCAATTTTTCAATTATTAAAAAAATTTTAACGTTTTGATTTTTCAATTTTTCATTTCTTCAATTTTTTAATTTTTCCGTTTTTAGGTTTTTGATTTTTCAATTTTTTAACGTTTTGATTTTACTACACTTTTTTAACTTTTTCATTTCTGAATCTTTCAATTTTTTTAATTTCTCAGGTTTTGGATATTTCAGTATTAAAATTTTTCAGTTTCTCCATTTTTCAGTTTTTCTCTAATATTTCAATTTTTCGAAATTTCACTTTTGGAATTTTTCAGATTATTTATTATTCAATTTTTTGGATTTTGCAGTTTCTTAATTTTCGGATGTTTTACGTTTTTTCAATTTTTCTCCGCATTAATTTTATGATTTTTAAATATTTCGATTTTTCAATTTTTCAGCGTTGACTTTTATAAATTCCCAGTTTTTCGATTTTTCATTTCTTCAATTCTTCAATTTTTCAATGTTTTAGGTTTTTGAATTTTCAATTTTTTAGATTCTCAGCTTTTGGATATTTCAATTTTTCAGATTTTTCAGTTCTTCTATTCATCAGTTTTTCTTCCATTTTTCAGTTTTTCAATATTTCAACTTTGGAATTTTTCAATATTTTGATTCTTCGAGTATTCGATTTTTCGATTTTTCCATTTTTTGATTTTTAAATTTTAGATTTTTCGATTTTTCGATTTTTCATTTCAGTTCTTCAATATTTCAATTTTTCAAGTTTTTCGAATTTTTCAAATGTTTCAATTTCTTAATCTTTCGATTTTTCGATTTCTCCGTTTTAGATGTTGGATTTTTTAATTTTTAATTTTTAAAATTTTTCTTAATTTCCTAGTTATTTTGTTTCTGCAGTTTCTCGATTTACCAGTTTTTCAGTTTATACCTTTTCGATTTTTTTTTGGTTTCTCAGGTTTTCCATTTTAGTATTTATTAAATTTTGATGTTTCGATTTTTTTATTGTTCAATTACTCGATTTATCCATCTTTAATTTTTTTGACTTTTAAAATTTTTTTACTTTAAATTTTTCAATTTTTAATTTTGAATTTTTCGATTCTTGCCTATTTTTCGATTTATCGACTTCCAGACTTCCGCTTTATCGACTTCCAGACTTTTCGATTTCCCGATCTTTTAGTTTTTGATTTTTTCTGTGTTCCGATTCTTCCGAATTTTTTGTTATTTTCGTTTTAAAATTTCTCAAATTCTCGATTTTTCAGTTTTCGGTTCATCAATTTTTTCATTTTCCTAATTTTTTGATATTTCGATTTTTGAATTTTTCGATTTTCCAAATTTTCATCATTTCAGTTTTAGAATTTTCCCATTGCACGGTTTTTCAATTTCGGATTCTTCTATTTTCCGATTTTCCAATTTTTCGATTTGTCGGTTTTTCGATTTTGGGACTTTGATTTTTCAATTTTTTAATTTATTTTAATTTTACACTTTTCGACTTACTATTTTTCATTTTTACGAAGTTTTGATGTTTCGATTTCTTGAGACTTCAGCTTTTCAATTTTTCAATATTTCAGTTTTCCATTTCTCGAAAATCTTCAATTTTTCGAAATTTCAGTGCTGGAATTTTTTAGTTTTTCGATTCTTCATTCTCCCGATTCGTTAAATTTTCGATTTTTCAATTTTCTGATGTTTCTGTTTTGGGTACTTACTTCAATTTTTCAATTCTTAATTTTTTTTCATTTTTCAATTTTTGATATTTGTTTTGGGATTTTTCAATATTTCGATTCTTAGATTTTTTGCTTTCTCGATTTAAATTTTAGAATCTTCAATTTTTTCAATTGGGATTGTCTGTTTTAGATTTTTCGGTTTTTAAATTTTTTGATTTCCCATTTTTTCGAATTTTCAATTTTTCGATTATTCGATTTAACGAGATTTTGATGTTTCGATTTTTTGATTGCTCAATTACTCGATTTATGCATTTTTCAGTTTTTAGAATTTTCAATTTTTTTAATTTAAATTTTTCAATTTTCGTTATTTCGATTTTGGCCAATTTTTTTGGGTTTCTCAATGTTTCGACTTTTTGACTTCTCGATTTCTCGATCTTTTGATTTTCGATTTCTTGGTTTTTCGATTTTATACTTTTTCGAAGTTTCCATTTTTCGGTTAACCGATTTTTCGATTTTTTAAATTTCAAAGTTTCGCTTCTTCGGGTTCTAAAGTTTAGATTTTTGAATTTTTCGACTTTCGACTTCTGGAGTCTTTTTCGAAGTATCGATTTTTCGGTTACCCGATTTCGATTTTTTAAATTTCGGAGTTCCGATTTTTCGATTTTTCGGTTTTTGAATTTTAGATTTTTGAATTTTTCCACTTTTCGATTTTCGACTTCTCGATTTATCAAGATTTGGATCTTTCCATGATTTGACTCTCAATTCCTCGATTTATCAATTTTTCGACTTTTCAACTTCTCGATTTCTCGATATTTTGATTTTTGATTTTTCGGTTATCCGATTTTTCGATTTTTTAAATTTCGGAGTTTCGATTTTTCGTTTTTTGGTTTTTAAATTTTAGATTTTTGAATTTTTCCACTTTTCGATTTTTGACTTATGGATTTTTGGATGTGGCGATAGTTTACTTTTTCGATTTTTCGATTTTTCATTTCAATTTTTCAAATGTTTCGATTTCTCAATCCATCGGTTTTTCGATTTCTAAGTTTTAAATTCTCTGTTTTCCAATTTTTCTTTTTTCATATTTTCGATTTTTTAATTTTTCATTGTTTTAAATTTTTCGATTCTTCAGTGTTCTGATTTCCCGATTTATCGAGCTTTGATCGTTCAGTCTCTCGATTGATCACTTTTTCAATTTATAACTTTTCATTTTTTTGCTTTTTAGTTTTTTATTTTTCTGCATTTAGATTTTTCGATTTTTCGATATTTCAATTTTTCAATTTTTCGAATTTTTCAATTTTTTGATTTCGATGTTTCAATGTTTTGATTGTCAATTTCTCGATTTATCGATTTTTCAACTTTCGTTTTCTCAATTTTTTGATATTTCAGTTTTGGGAGTTTTCAATTTTTTATACTTCAATTTTATAATTTCTCGATTTTTCTATTCTTCAATTTTCCGATGTTTCAGTTCAAGTTTACCGTTTTTAAATATGTATTTCTATTCTTCACATTTCCAATTTTTGAGTTTCTAAATTTTCAATTTTTCGATTTCTCAACTAACGATTTTTGATTTTTCCATTGTTCGACTTCTCGATTTTCCAATGTTTCAATTTTACACATCTTCAGTTGTTCAACTTTTGATTTTTCGGTTCATCGAATTTTTCAATTTCGATTGTTTGATTTTCCGATTTTTCATTTTTCAATTTTTCGAAATTTCAGTTTTGGGATTTTTCAGATTATTATTTATTACTCAATTTTCGATTTGAAACAATTTCTCAATTTTTCATTTTTTTCATTTTTTTCTCAGTGTTAATATCATACAATCTATCCAAACTAACCGCAAGAATTGTACTGAAAACATAAAATAAACAAATAACGTAAACACCACCAATAATCAATTCAAAAACGAAAAATAATCCACCAAATCAGCATGCAAACCGCACTCCAGCCCTGCCCCATCATTCCTCTTAATTTAATTTCGCCTCACATTCGAATCTCATTCCAGCCGAAATTGAATTTTCCTCCAAATACAGAAAACCTTTCGACGAACTCGCTTAATGTAGCCCCGTAATCTGGCAAAAATACATTTTTCGGGACGCGCTTTGTGAAAAAAAAGAAACACATTTCGTGTGCAAATACTTACTTATTTTGCCTCGGCTGGCGGCGGTTCGGGGATTTGTATTTCGGGAACGATTTTGATTAGGGAACGTTGTGTCAAACTATTGTTTAATTGTGTGGCGGAGCTTTAGAGGCTTTATGGAAATGGAGGGTTGTCATTGTGATATGTTATTGCGCTAACCTGGAGGAGGATTTGTTATAATGAAGGCTAAAAGGGATTTGAAATTTTAATAACGTAGTTGGAGAGGGGAAAGTTCGGGCGGGTTTGTGAATTATGTGGATGGGTTCTAACGGGTATTGTTGAATTATAACTAGGGGTTGTTTAGAAGGCGAAATTAATTTTGTGTACGGGATAACCTAGTTTTGGTGAATAGACTTGTTGGGAGAAAAATCGTATTTATTAAATATAAATATATACACACTAGTATTAGAACATCTAAGCCAACAGACTCTTGATCATGGCTTCGTACCCAGCGATCCCCTTTTTGTTAGCTTCAGCTTCCGACAACCCGTCGACTTTCTTCACCCAAGCAGACAACTTCTGGTACTTTTGCCCATCGAGAGGTACCAAGACGTTCAAAGTGGTGACCGTGGCGTACAGGTTGTAGTCAGCGATGGTGACGGACTCTCCAGCCATCCAGGATTTCTTTTCGAGGAAGGCTTCCAGGAAGGCGTACACAGCGTTTACGCTTTCTTTGTCGGAATCGTCGATGGATTTTTTCCCCGCTCGAAGGATGGCGGCCTGAAAAAATTTATGGTAAGAACTGGAAGTTAAGAGAGAATTGGATGGTAATTACGGTAATTCTGGCTCCGGCTGGGAATGCTACCCCACTGTCGAAATGTAGTCGTTGGTCTATTATGGCGCGTTTTGCCAGATCTTTGGGGTAGAGAGAGTCGTTTTTGGCGTATTTTGAAACCAAGTAGGCGTTGATGGCGTGGCTGTCCCAGATGGTAAGACCGTCGTCGTCCACAAGGGTGGGAACTGTGTGTTGTGGGTTAAGCTATAAACAAAAAAATTATTTATGTTGTGTACATATGCAACCAGTTATACATTTTGACTCAGTACTCAGACTCAACATTCATCTCACTTTTTTGAGTTTTTTTCTAGAAAAATATGCGTCCGGATAAAAAAAAATCGAAAAATTAAAAAAATTGAAAATCGAAACGTCACAACACAGAAAAATAGAATATTGAAAAATTTAAAAATGCAGAAATTTAACTGTGGAAAAATGGGAAATCGAAAATTTGAAAAATCGGGGAATCTAAAAATTGGAAAGTCGATAAATTGCAAAAGTCGGAAAAAACCAAGATGTCAAGACATCAAAACACCAAAACATGAATTTAAAAAATGAAAGAATTGAAAAAACAAAAAACTGAAAAATGAAAAATTTAAAAATTCGACGAACTCAAAAACAGAAATATCGAGGAACAGAAAAATCCAGAAATCGAAATCGAAAATTAAAAAAAAAAGAAAATTAAAATTATAAAAAAAAATCGAAAACTAGATAAATCGAAAAGTAGAAAAATCTAAAAACCGAGAAATTCAAAATTAAATCGAGAAATTGGACAATTGGAAAGTAAAACTGAAAAGCCAAGAAATTAAACAATTCTAAAATTAAAAGGACGAAAGTGTTTAAATGGAAACATTGAAAAACTGGAAAAACGAAAAATCGAAAAACCATAAATCTATCTCAGAAAACGGAAGATCAAAACATGGAAAAATTGAAAAACCGAAAAATTCAAGAATCGAAACATCAAAAAATGGAGAAATCGAGAACTCGAGAAGTCGAAAAGTCCATAAATCGAAAAATGGAGATATTGAAAAATTTAAAAATCCAGAAATCAAACTGTTGAAAAAAATTGAGAAATCCAAAATTTGAAAAATCAAGAAATATAAAAATCGCCAAATTTAAAAATTCGAAGAACCAAAAAACAGAAATATCGAAGATGTCAAAAATGTGAAATATTGAAAAGTCGAAAAGTCTCAAAATCGATAAACCGAGAAATTGAAAACTAAAAAATCGAAAAATTGGAAAATTGGAAACTAAAACTGAAAAACCAAGAAATTAAAAAATTCTGAAACTAAATGACGAAAATTTGGAAAATCGGAACATCGAAAAATTGAAAAAACGAAAAATCGAAAATTTCAGAAAACGAAAAATCGAAACATCGAAAAATTGAAAAAACGAAAAATCGAAAAACCAAGAAGTTGAAAAATCGATAAATCCAGAACTCGAAAAATCGGGAAGTCCATAAATCGAAAAATTGAGAAATCTAAAAATTTTAAAATCCTGAAATTGAACTGTTGAAAATAATAAAGAACTCGAAAATTTGAAAAATCAAGAAATCTAAAAATCCCCCAATTGTATTATTGTAATCTTGAGATGTCAAGATATCTAAACATAAAAAACTCATAAAAATGAAGAATTGAAAAATCGAAAAGTATAAAATTAAAAAAAAAATGGAAAAATTGAAAAAACAAAAATTTAAAAATTCGACGAATTGACAATAGAAATATCAGAGAACAGAAAAATCGAGAAATCGAAATCTAAAATTTAAAAAATGAAAAATTAAAATATCGAAAACTTGAAAGAATCGAAAAATGGAAAAATGGAATAGTATAAAAATCAAAAACCCGAGAAATCAAAATTTAAAAAAATTAAAAATTGGAAAATTGGAAAATTGAAGAATCCTTAAACTGAGAAACAACGAAATTAAAAAATTCTAAACCTAAAATGACGAAAATTTGGAAAATCGAAACATCGAAAATTTGGAAAAACGAAAAATAGAAAAAAACGAAAAATCGAAGAACCAAAAAGTCGAAAAATCGAAAATTTCAGAAAACGAAAAATCGAAACATCGAAAAATTCAAAAACCGAAACATCCAGAATTGAAAAGTCGAGAAGTCCAGAAATCGAAAAATAGAGAAATCGAAAATTTGAAAAATTTAGAAATCTAAAAATCGGCAAATTGAAAAATTGTAAAAATCGAAAAGTGCAAAATTAAAGAAAAATGAAAAAATTGAACAAAAACTGAAAAATCAAAAATTTAAAAATTCGAAATTTGAAAAATAGAAATATCGATGTACAGAAAAATCGAGAAATCGAAAAATCGTAAAATAGATAAATCGAAAAATAGAAAAATCGAAAAACCGAGAAATCCGAAATTAAATCCAGAAATTGGATATTCGGAAACTAAAACTGAAAAACCAAGACACTACAAAATTTTAAAACTAAAATGACGACAATTTGGAAAATCGAAACATCGAAAAATTGGAAAACCGAAAAATCGAAAAATCAAGAAGTTGAAAAATCGATAAATCCCGAACTCGAAAAGTCGGGAAGTCCATAAATCGAAAAATTGAGAAATCGAAAAATTTTAAAATCCAGAAATTGAACTGTTGAAAAAAATAAAGAACTCGAAAATTTGAAAAATCAAGAAATCTAAAAATCCCCAAATTGTAAAATTGTAATCTTGAGATGTCAAGAAATCTAAACATAAAAAACTCGTAGAAATGAAGAATTGAAAAATCGAAAAGTGTAAAATTAAAAAAAAAAATGGAAAAATTGAAAAAACAAAACTCTGAAAAATCAAAAATTTAAAAATTCGACGAATTGAAAATAGAAATATCAGAGAACAGAAAAATCGAGAAATCGAAATCTAAAATTTAAAAAATGAAAAATTAAAATATCGAAAACTTGAAAGAATCGAAAAATCGAGATATCAAAAAAACGAAAAATGGATAAATCGAATAGTATAAAAATCAAAAAACCGAGAAATCGAAATTTAAAATAATTGAAAAATTGGAAAATTGAAGAATCCTTAAACTGAAAAACCACGAAATTAAAAAATTCTAAACCTAAGATGACGAAAATTTGGAAAAGCAAAACATCGAAAAATTGGAAAAACAAAAATAGAAAAAAAAAGAAAAATCGAAGAATCAAAAAGACGAAAAATCGACAATCTCACAAAACGTAAAATCGAAACATCAAAAAATTCAAAAAACGAAACATCAAAAAGTCGGGAAGTTCAGAAATCGCAAAATTGAAAAATAGAAAAATTAAAGAATTGCAAAACCGAAAAATCGAGAAATTGAAAAATTCTAAAACTGGAACATTAAGCAATTGAAACATTAAAAAATCGAGTAATCGAGAACTCGAAACGTCGGGAAATCCATAAATCTAAAAATTGGGAAATCGAAAAATGGAGATCCGAAAACTCGAAAGATCGAGCAATTGAAACGTCACAACATCGAAAAATTTAAAAATCCAGAAAATGAACTGTTGAAAAAAATAGGGAAATCGAAAATTTGAAAAATCGAGAAGTACCTATGTATAAAAATCGGCAAATTGAAAAATTGTAAAAATCGATAAATCGATGTCAAGAAATCGAAATATCAAAAACTCCTGAAAATGAAGAATTGAAAAATCGAAAAATGTAGAACTAAAAAAAAAAATGCAAAAATTTAACAAACAAAAAACTGAAAAATGAAAAAAATAAAAATTCGACGAAGTGAAAAATAGAAATATTTGGGCAACAGAAAAATCGAGAAATCGGAATATAAAACTTAGAAAATTAAAAATTAAAATATCGAAAACTTAAAGAATGGAAAAATCGAGATATCAAAAAATCGAAAAATGGATAAAACGAAAAGTAGAAAAACAGAAAACCGAGAAATCGGAAATTAAAAAAATCAAAAAATTGGAAAATCGGAAAACTGAAGAATCCTAAAACTAAAAAACCAAGAAATTCAAAAATTCTAAAACTAAAATGACGAAAATTTGGAAAATAGAAACATTGAAAAATTGGACAAACGAAAATTTGAAATAACAAAGAATTCAAAAATCGAAACATCATAAAGTCGTGAAGTTCAGAAATCGAAAAATTGAAAAATATAAAAATAGAGGAATTGAAAAACTGAAAAATTGAGAAATGGAAAAATTCTAAAATTGGAATGACGAAAGATTGGGAAGAATCGGAACATAGAAAAATCCAAAAATACAAACACTGAAATATTGAACAATCGAAAAAAAATTGACAAATCCCAAAACGGAAACATAAAAAGATCAAAAAATGGAAAAGTCGAAGTCGAGAAATAAAAAAAATTTAAAAAAACAAAAAATTGAAAACAAGACTGAAAATCGAAAAATTGAAGAATTAGAAAACTGAAAAATCAAAAAATCAAGAAGTCGAAATGTCGAAAAATCGAAAAAAGTGATTAATTGAAAAATGGAGAAAGCGAAAAGTCCGAAAACTCGAAAAGTTAGAAACGTCAGAAGTTGAAAAATTGAAAAATTCTATACCGAAACATCGGAAAATTGAGAATTCGGAAAATTAAAAATTCTGAAGAATCGAAAAATTAGAAAATCGAAAAACTGAAAAATCGAGAAATTGAAAAATTCTAAAATTGGAATGCCGAAAGATTGGGAAGAATCGGAACATAGAAAAATTAAAAAACTGAAACATTGAGAAACCGAAATATCAAAGGATCGAGAAATCGAAATAGACCAAAATCGAAAAATAGAAAAGTTAAAATTGAAAATTGAAAAATTTAAATAAAAAAAGACGAAAAACCGGAAAGTCGAAAAACTGAATAATCAAAAAATTTACCAGAATTGAAAAGTCACAAATATCGATTAAACTAGAAATTGAAACATTGAAAAATCGAAAATATAGGAACTTCAAAAATTGAAATACATATTGAAGTTTCGAAAAAATTTAAAAAGCGAGAAATTTAAAAATTGAAAAATCCAAGAACTGAAAAACCGTAAAAATTAAAAACAGAAAAACCGAAAAATTGAAAAAACCGCATCATCGAAAAATACCAACTGAAAAACCGAAAAAAAATTGAAGAATAAAAAATTCACAAATCCCAAAACTGAAGCATAAAAAAATAAAACAATGGAAAAGTCGAAGTCCAGAAATCGAAAATTTAAAAAAATCGAAAAATTGAAAAATAAACCTGAATAATCGAAAAATTGAAGAATCAGAGAACTGAAAAATCAAAAAATCGATAACTCGAAAAATTAAACAAGGGAAAATGAAAAAATGAAAATTCGAAAAAAATCGATTAATTGAGAAATTGAGGAACCTAAAACTCGAAAAGTTAGAAACGTCAGAAATTGAAAAATTGAAAAATTCTAAGCCGAAACATCGGAAAATTGAGAAAATCGAAAATTGAAAATTTTGAGAAATCGAAAATTTAAAGAACTGAGAAACTGAAGAATGAAAAATTGAAATATCGAGAATTTTTTTTGAGAAATCGAAAAATCAATAAATTAAAAAATGGAAAAGAGTAATTGAACAATGAAAAAATCGAATCATCAAAACCTCGTTAAACTGAGAAATCGAAAAATTGAAAAATCAAAAAATAACATTTCAAAAAATTTGAAAATCAAAAAATTTAAAAAAAATTCTAAAATTTAAATCGAGAAATCGAAATATTAAAAAAATTCCAAAAATATCGAAAAAATGAAAAATGAAAAAAATTAAGAAACAAAAAATTAAAAAAAACCATCGGGAAATTGAAGAATCGAAAAACTGAAAAATCCCTAGTATGAAATAATTCAGAAATGGAAAACCGAGATGTTAAGAAATCTAAACATCAGTAACTCCTAAAAATGAAAAATTGTAAATCAAAAACCGCAAAATTAAAAAAAAAAAATAGAAAAACTTAAAAATTCGGAAAACTGAAGAATAGAAATATTGAAAAATTGAAAAATTGAAGTCTCAAAACCGAAAAACCGGGAAATTGAAAATGAATAAAATCGAAAAACTGAAAAATCGAGAAATTGAAAAATTCTAAAACTGAATTGACGAAAAATTCGAAAGAATCGAAACAGAAAAATTCAAATACCAAAGGATCGAGTAATCGAAACATCAAAAGACCAAGAAATCGACAAATCGAAAAGTCTGGAAGTCATAAATCGAAAAATCGAAAAGTAAAATATTGAAAATAAAAAAATTTAAAATAAAAAAAAAATAAAAATAAAACATTGAAAAATGGATAAGTCAAAAATCCAAAATATCAAAGTGTCGTTAAACCGAGTAAACGAAACGTTGAAAATTTTAAAAGCCAAAAAATCCAGACAGACAAACTTTCAAAAACCGAAGATTCTAAAAGGAGAAATCGAAAAATCGAAGAATCGAAACTGGAAAACTAAGAAATCGAAAATGTAACGAATCGGTAAATTGACGAATGGAAAAATTGAAAAATTCCAACACTGAAATATCAAACAATCGAAAAGCCGAAAAGTCGAAAAATCGAAAAACCATGAAATCGAAAAATTTGGATATCGAGAAATAGAAAACTTGTGACAACGAATAACTGAAAAATCGGAAAATTTAAAAATCGAAAAAATTCGTAAAATAGAAATATCGAAGAAGTGAAAAATGGAAAATTTGAGAAATCGAGGAATCGAGGAATCGAAAAATCTAAATTTTCAAAATTGAGAAATTATAATATCGAAAAATAGAAAAAACGAAAAATTGGATCTTCAAAAAATCGAAAAATTTAGAAATCTAATAAATTTCAAAATCCAATAGTTGAAAAAATAATAAATCGAAAAATCAAAAAATTGAAAAAGTTAAAAACCGAAAAATCAAAAAATCGAAAAGCAGAAAAATTGAAGTACTGAATAATTCCTAAATTGCAATATCGAAAAATGAAAAAGCCAGAAATCGTATAGTCGAAAAACCGATAATTAAAAAAATCAAAAAAACCGAAAAATCGAAACACTGAAAAGTCGAGAAATCGAGAAATCGAAAATCATGTATGTTGTGTATATATGCAACCGGTTATACACGCAGTTCAACTATAATCTACGACTCAGATTTTTTGAAAGTTTTCGCCTCTTGTACATATGGTTTGGTGATTTTAATTTAAAATCAAAATATTTTAAGAAAATATTTCACTTTTTTTTATGAGTTTTTCCAGACCCCAAGACATGGGTATCTTTACAATAATTATCTTTATTTCTAAAAAATTCTTTGAAATTCAACAAACCGCTGTCGTTACCTTTAGGTACTCGGGCTTCAAATGCTCCCCCTTGCTCAAATCCACCAATTTCTCCTCCATCTGCAACCCGATCGCTTTCGCTGTGATCTGAACCGATCGAACAGCAGGACTAGCCGGAAGCATATACAAAGTGGGAGCCATAGTGACGCTGTTCACACTACACCGGTCACAGAACTTGTGCTATAAGGTCAACAGGCTGCGGTTTTATAACCGTGGCAGTGATACGAGGAAAATTCGTGAACGTGTGAATGAGTCATTGATTCATAGTAGCCGGTACCCGTTACGAGTTGATCGGTCGTTCGCGCTTTGAAGCGGCTAATTAGCGACAAATTGCCCCACTCGATCGAGCTTTTAATTAACTTTCGCAAAAATTGCGGGATAATAGGCCGAATGGGGGCAGGAAATGCCGCTCCTTTATGTGTTTGTTGTACTAACGATAAAAAATACCCAATTAATGTTGGATTTGAGTCAACCCAAAGGAAACCCACTCCTTATCTAATACGAATCCGCAAACATCGATAACCCAAACCGCTGTCTCATTTCGCTTTACGCAACAATTTCCACTCCCGTTCTTAGAAAAATCGCCTTTGATAGCACGCTTTGAGTATTTAGGTCATGTAGGGGTGCCAAGTATAATTAAACTCGTTGTCGCGTAATAAATTTATTCAAACACAGCTACTGCAATTTACTCTTCATCATGGTAGTGAAGACCTCCAGCCCCTTCTTGCTCACTTCCGCTTCAGGCAAAGCGTCGACTTTCTTAAGCCAAGCTGCCACTTTTGGAAACTTCTGGGAGTCCACGGGGACGAGGACGTTGCTTCCGGAGATGGTGGCGTAGAGGTTGTAGTCGGCGATGGTGACGGAGTCACCAGCCATCCACTGTTTTCCGTCGAGGAAGGCCTCCAAGAATTCGTACACTTGAGTCAGACTTTCCTTGTCCTTGTCCGTCAAACTGGTTTTACCTTCGCGCAGAATTTGACCCTGATGAGTAATTTATTAGTGGACGAAACGCACCAAGTTTGAATGACTTACTATGATGGTGATGCCTCTGGCAAAAGCCACCCCCGAGTCGAAGTGGAGCCTCTGGTCCACAATGGCCCGTTTTTTCAAGTCTTTGGGGTAGAGGGAGTCGTTCTTTCCGTATTTTGAGACGAGGTAAGGGTTGATGGCGTGGCTGTCCCACACGATGAAGCCGTCATCGTCCACGAGGGTTGGAACGGTGTGTTGGGGGTTGATCTACCAAAGTGTTATTACTGGAAGAGGGAAAGGGTCCGACTTACTTTCAAGTATTCAGGTTGTAGGTGTTCCCCTTTCTGGAAATCAACAGCTTTCTCCTGGAGTTGGATTCCAAGGGCTTTTGCGGTTATAAGGACTGACCTAACCGGAGGGCTTGGAGCAATCATGTACAAAGTAGGAGCCATGGTTGAATTTGTATTGTATTACACTTACTGATAATACCGAACAGGTGCAGATGTATTTATTATCACGAAAAGTGCTCTAACTTGATAACAGGATAGTTTCAAGTGCTTGTTATTTAATAGTTAGTGAGTAATGTAACTAATAATGGAAACAATTTAGACTGACCTTCACTTCAAGGTTGGTTCTTACGTAGAGAGGATTGAATCTTAATATACAATCAAACAATTCTAACTACATGTTTAAAATTTAGTCCCATCATCGGCCTCTTCAAACATAGAACCTGGTGATTCATTGATTATTTTAGTCGAGAACTTTCTATTGACACGACGTGATAAAAGATAAACACAAAATTACTGCTGAGTCAAAAAGTGAAGGTCAACCGCAAAATTATTGCAGTTTACTGTTGATCAAACTTTCAAAAATCGCTAGCCCCTTTTTAGAGGCTTCGGCTTCCGGCAGACCTCCGACTTTTTCGAACCATCCAAACTACTTCAAAAACCAGTCCTCGAGATTCTTTCAAACTACCTCGAAAACCAGACACAGAAGGATTCCGAGATTATTTCAAATTACTTCAAAAACCAGACACAAAAGGTCCCCGAGATTCTTTCAAACTACTTCGAAAACCAGACACAAGAGGTCCCCGAGATTCTTTCAAACTACTTCTAAAACCAGATGCATAAAGTCTGCGAGATTCTATGAAATTACTTTAAAAACCAGTCAAAAAAGCCACAAAAAGTCTTCGAGATTCTTTCAACCTACTTCAAAAACCAGCCATAAAAAGTCCTCGAAATTCTTTCAAACTACCTCGAAAACCACACACAAGAAGACCCCCAGATTCTTTCAAACTACATACTTCAAAAACCAGAAACAAAAAGCCTGCAAGATTCTTTCAAACTACTTCAAAAACCAGTCAGAAAAGGTCCTCGAGATTCTTTCAAAACAGGTATTTCAAAAACCACTACTTGAAAAACTAATCAGAAAAAGTCTCGGAGATTCTTTCAAATTATTTAAAAAAACAGACACAAAAGTCCTCTAAATTTTTCCAAACTACTTCAAAAACCAGCCAGAGAACGAATTCTGAGAATCATACTTCAAAAAAACCCAAGGGGCCACCAAAACCAAACAAAGAATCGCAGAGATTCTTTCAAATTACTTCAAAAACAAGACAAGGGAATCTCGAGAATCTTTACAATTATTTACTTCAAAAAGAAAGCTCATGGGATCCTCGATATTCTTTCAAATATATCCAAAACCAAGACAAGGGAACCCCTAGACTCTTTAAAATTACTTCAAAAGGGGTGTTCGAGATTCTTTCAAAATAGATACTTCAAAAAACCCAAGGGGTGAGATTCTTTCAAGCTACTTGAAAATCAAAACACAAGGGGTCCACGAAATTCTTTCAAATTACTTCAAAAACAAGACAAGGAAACCCCGAGATTCTTTACAACTACCTACTTCGAAAATAGAACTCAAGAGATCTTCGAAATTATTTCAAACTATTTAGGTACTTCAAAAATAAGACACAAAGCGTGCCCGAGATTCTTTCAAACTACATACTTCAAAAAGAACCCAAGGTATCAGGGAAAAATTTAGAAACTCGAAAAACTGAAGAATGGAAAAATTAAAAAATCGAAAATTTCAAAAATTTAAAATCGAAGAAATGAAAAAGTGAAAAATTGTGAATTCGAAAAGGAAACAAATTGAAAATTCGAATATCGAAAAGTAGAACATTCGATGAATCAAATATTCGAAAAAAAAAAAAATTCGAAAAAATCGAAAACTCAAGAAATTAAGAAAAAAATTGATAATCTGAAAATTCGAGAAAATAATTGAAACTCTAAAAATTGAAGAATGCATAACTTAAAAATCAAAAATCTAAAATTCGAAAATTCGAAGAATTGAAAAATTGAAAAATCGAGAAATCGAAAAGGAAAGAAATTGAAAATTCGAATATAAGAAAATCGAATATTCAATGAATTAAGTATTCAGAAAACTAAAATCGAAAAGTGGGAAAACCGAAAATCGAAAAATCAAAAATTGAAAAAGAGAAAAACCGAAAAATAAAAATATAAAAAAATCAAAAATTTGAAATATCGAAAAACTGAAAAATCTTGAAATCAAAAAGAAAATAAATTGAAAATTCATCATCGACATTCTTTAACAAGACCTGCAAGGTGTCTTCGAGATTTTTTCAAATGTCTACAAAAACAAGACAAGAAAACCCCGAGATTTTTTAAAATTACTTTAAAAACAACGCTCAAAAGGAGTCCTCAAGATTCCTTAAAAATACTTCAAAAAAAAAAACAAGGGGTGCCCGAGATTCTTTCAAATATCTTCTAAAACAAAATAAGGAAACTCCGAGATTCTTTAAAATTACTTCGAAAATAGAGCTCAAGGGGTCCCCGAGATTCTTTCAAACTAGATACTTCAAAAATTAGACACAAGGGGTCGGGCAGATACTTTCAAGTTACATACATCAAAAACACACAAGGGGTCACCGAGATTCTTTCAAAATTACTTCAAGAGCAAAACCCCCAAGAAGTCCTCGAGATTCCTTCAAATTACTTCATTACTTCAAAAACAGATCCACAGGATGTTCCCCAGATTCCTTCAAATTACTTCAAAAATAAAACACAAATGGTTCCAGAGATTCTTTCAAATTACTTTAAAAACAAGACAAAGAAACCCCGAGATTCTTTACAACTACCTACTTCAAAAATAAAGTTCAAGACATCCTCGAGATTATTTCAAACTATTTAGGTACTTCAAAAACCAGACACAAAGCGTGCCCGAATCTCTTTCAAACTACATACTTCAAAAAAAACCCAAGGAACCAGGGAAAAATCTAGAAACTCGAAAAACTGAAGAATGCAAACATTAAAAAAACGAAAATTTCAAAAATTTAAAATCGAAGAATTGAAAAACTGAAAAATTGTGAATTCGAAAAGGAAACAAATTGATAAATCGAATATCGAAAAGTAGAACATTCGATGAATCAAATATTCGAAAAAACAAAAATTCGAAAAAATCGAAAACTAGAGAAATTAAGAAAAAATTGAAAAATTGAAAAATCGAGAAATCGAAAAGGAAAGAAATTCTAATTTCGAATATAAGAAAATCGAATATTCAACAAATTAAGTATTCAGAAAACTAAAATCGGAAAAGTGGGAAAACCGAAAAATAAAAATATAGAAAAATCGAAAATTTGAAATATCGAAAACCGAAAAACTGAAAATTTGAAAATTTTAAATATCGGAAAATTGGAAGCCGAAAACAAAGTCAAAAAATGGAAAAATCCAAATTTAGAAAAATCCAAAATTTAATGAATCAGTTATGTATTTTGAGAATTAAGAAACCGGAAAGCAAAAAATTTGAAAAATCGAAAATTCGAGGAATTGAAAAACCGAAAAATCTTGAAATCAAAAAGGAAATAAAGTGAAAATTCATCACCGACATTCTTTAACAAGACCCGCAGGGTGTCTTCGAGATTTTTTCAAAGGTCTACAAAAACAAGACAAGAAAACTCCGAGATTTTTTAAAATTACTTTAATAAAATAAATATAAATATAAACCGAAAGTCAAAAAATGGAAAATTCGAAATTTAGAAAAATCCAAAATTTAAAAATCAGTTATGTATTTTGGGAATTAAGAAACAGGAAAGCAAAAAATTTGAAAAATCGAAAATCTTATAATCAAAAAGGAAATAAATTGAAAATTCATCAGCCACATTCTTTAACAAGACCCGTAGGGTGTCTTCGAGATTCTTTCAAATACTTATCTGCAATAACAAGACAAGAAAACCCCCAGATTTTTTAAACTGGCTTACTTCAAAAACAAAAAACAAGTGGTGCCCGAAATTCTTTCACATATCTTCTACACAAAACAAGGAAACTCCGAGATTCTTCAAAATTATTTCGAAAATAGAGCTCAAGGGGTCCCCGAGATTTTTTCAAACTAGATACTTAAAAAATTAGACACAAGGGGTCCTGCATATATTTTCAAGTTGCATACTTCAAAAAACACAAGGGGTCACCGAGATTTCTTCAAATTACTTCAAAAATAAAACACAAATGGTTCCAGAAATTCTTTCAAATTACTTCAAAAGCAAGACAAGGAAACCCAGAGATTCTTTACAACTGCCTACTTCAAAAATAAAGCTTAAGGGGTCCTCGAGATTCTTTCAAAACCCAGATTCAAAGCGTGCCCGAGATTCTTTCAAACCACATACTTCAAAAAAACTCACGGATTACCAACATTTTTTAACAAAACTCACAGTGAGTCCTCGTGATTCTTTCAAATATCTCAAAAAACAAGACAAGGGAACCTAGAGATTCTTTAATATTTCTTCAAAAACAAAGCTCAAAGAGTCCTCGAGATTCTATGAACCTACTTCAAAAAGAAAACACAAGAGGTTCTCGAGATTCTTTCAAATATTTTCAAAAACTAGCTAAGGAAACTCCGAGATTCTTTAAAATTACTTCAAAAGCAGAGCTCAAGGAGTCCCGGAGATTCTTTCAAACTAGATGAGTGAGTAATGTAGCTAATAATGTAATTAATTAGGATTGACCTTCACTTCAAGGTTCTTAATAACAATCAAACAATTCTGACTAAGTGTTGTTTTTTTTCTTTACAATTTAGTCCCATCATTGGCCTCTTCAAACATAGGACGTGGTGATTCATTGATTATTTTAGACGAGAAGTTTCTATTGACACGACGTGATAAAAGATAAACACAAAAATATTGCTGTGTCAAAATGCATTAAAAAAATGAAAGTCAACCGCAAAATTATTGCAGCTTACTGCTGATCAAACTTTCAAAAATCGCTAGCCCCTTTTTAGTGGCTTCGGCTTCCGGTAAATTCCCGACTTTGTCGAACCACGTAGCCACTTTCGGGTACTTCTGTCCATCGATGGGTACTAAGACGTCCCCAGCAGACACCGTAGCGTAGAGGTTGTAGTCCGCAACGGTCAAGCAATCCCCGGCCATCCATGGTTTCCCATCATCCAGAAAAGCTTCCAAAAAAGCGTACACTTGCTCCACTCTGGTCTTGTCGTTGTCGTCCAGACAAGTCTTTCCTTCGTAAAGAATGCAGCGCACGATTCCAGCGACTGCGCCAAAAGCGACGCTTCCGTTGAAGTGGAGTCGTTGGTCGACGATGGCGCGTTTTTGCAAATCTTGGGGGTACAAAGAGTCGTCTTTGGCGTATTTCCCGATTAGGTAAGGGTTGATGGCGTTGCTGTCCCAGACGGCGAAGCCGTCGTCGTCCACGAGGGTCGGGACGGTATGTTGGGGGTTAAGCTGGTGCAATATTCTTACTATTTTTGAAAAAAAGTAATGTTTGACTTACTTTTAAGTATTCGGGTTGTAGGTGCTCTCCGGCTGGGAAGTTGATGATTTTCTCGTTCAGTGTTAGTCCGAGGGCTTTGGCGGTCATTAGGACCGACCTGACTGGGGGGCTTGGGGGGATCATGTATAGAGTGGGTGCCATGGTACTAAACTGTACGTTTCGAGAGTGCAGAGACTAATGAGAGTAATTTCGATTGACCTTCCTTTGCAGGGTTTGCACAGAAAATCGAACCGGTGATAAATTATTCAACTTGTTCGATCACTTCAAGTCGGGAGTGACTGCGCTGTGTTTCTTATTTGTGTTGTCAACACGTTTTGTAATTAAATTATTTTGGATATTTTGGTGGAGTCAATATAGATTGTGATAAAAATTCAATTTGCATCGTCACGTCACTTGATGACATGGCGTGATAACTGAAATTCGTGAGAACAAAATTTTTGTTAATTCCAGAGATTAGATAGGTTTTCAATGCCATGAAAGAGTTGCAATGTCAGGGGTGGATGGGACTGGCGGGAAATCGGGAATTTTCTAGAGGAGTCAGTAGGTGTGGTATATCACAGCTCCGAGACCAAATTTTATATATAATTACTTTAAAAACAAGACACATGGAGTCCTCAAGTTTCTTTCAAACTACTTCAAAACCAAAACACACAGGGTTCCCGCGATTATTTCAAATTTCTTCAAAAACAAGAAAAGGGACCCCCGAGATTCTTTCAAACTAATTCAAACTAGGCATAATCAGACATAAGTGGTCCCAGAGATACTTTCAAACTACATACCAAAAAACCCAAGGGATGGCCGAGATTCTTTAATAAGAGCTACAGGAATTCCCCAAGATTCTTTCAAATTACTTCAAAACCAAAACAAGAGCTCCCAAAGATACTTTAAAATTACTTCAAAAACAAAGCCGAAACAGTCCTCGAGATTCTATCAAACTACTTCAAAAACAAAACACAAGGGGTGGCCGAAATTCTTTAAAATATCTTCAAAAACAAGACAAGAGAACTCCGAGACATTTTAAAATAACTTCAAAAACCGAGTTCAAAGAGTCCCCGAGATTCTTTCAAACAACATACTTCAAAAGAAACGAAAAGATCACCGAGATTCTTTAACAAAAGCCACAGGGAGTCCCCGAGATTCTTTAAAATTACTTCAAAAACAAAGCTAAAACACTCCTCGAAATTCTATCAAACTCCTTCAAAAACAAAACACAAGGGGTGCCCGAAATTATATAAAATATCTACAAAAACAAGACAAGAGAACTCCGAGTTTATTTAAAATGACTTCAACAACAGAGCTCAAGGAATCCCAGATATTCTTTAAAACTAGGTACTTACTTCAAAAATCAGACACAAACTACATCCTTACTTCAAAAAACCCAAGAGATCACCGAAATTCTTTAATAAGAGCCAGATTCTTTCAAACTACTTCAAAAAATAACACAAGGAGTCCCCAAGATTCTAAAAACAAGATAAGGAAACCCCGCGATTCTTTAAAACTACTTCAAAAACAAAACCCAAACAATCCTCGAAACTCTATCAAACTACTTCAAAAACCAAATATAAGACGTGCTCGAAATTCTTTAAAGTATCTTCCAAAACAAGACAAGAGAACTCCGAGATTGTTTAAAATGACTTAGAAACAGAAGTCAAAGAGATTCTTTCAAACTACGTACTTCAAAAGAAACGAAGAGATCACCGAAATTTTTTAATAAAAGCCACAGGGAGTCCCCAAGATTCTTTCAAATATTTTCAAAAACAAGATAAGGGAACCCCGAAATTTTTTTAAATTATTCAAAAACAAAATCCAAACAGTTCTCGAGATTCTTTCAAACTACTTCGAAAACAGTACACAAGAGGTCCCCGAGATTCTTTCATTCAAATTAGGTACTTCAAAAATCAGACAAAAAGAGTCTCAGAGATATGTTCTTCAAAATACATACTTCAAAAAAAACAAGGGCTCACTGAGATTCTTTAATAAGAGCCACAGGGAGTCCCTTTCAAACTACTTCAAAAACAAAACACAAGGGATCCCCAAGATTATTTCAAACTACTTCAAAAACAAAACACAAGAGGTCACCGAGATTCTTTCAAATATCTTCGAAAACAAGGCTAGAGAAGTTCGAGATTTTTTAAAATGACTTCAAAAACAAAGTTTAAGGAGTCCCCGAGATTCTTTCAAACTAGGTATTACAAAAATCAGACACAAGGGCTCACTGAGATTCTTTAATAAGAGTCACAAGGAGTCCCCGAGATTCTTTCAAACTACTTCAAAAACAAAATACAAGGGATCCCCAAGATTCGTTAAAATTACTTCAAATACAAAGTCCAAACATTCCTCGAGATTCTATCAAACTTTTTCCAAAACAAAACACAAGGGGTGCTCGAAATTCTTTAAAATATCTTCAAAAACAAGACAAGAGAACTTTAAAATGGCTTGAAAAATAGATCTCAAGGAGTCCCTGAGATTTTTTCAAACTAAGTTCTTCAAAAACCAGACATAGGGGGTCCCAGAGATACTTTCAAAATACATAGTTCAAAAAAACCCAAGGGATCGCCGAAATTCGTTAATAAGAGCCACAGAGGGTCCATGAAATTCTTTTAAACTACTTGAAAAACAAAACACAAGGGGTTCTGAAGATTGTTTCAAATATTTTCAAGAACAACACAAAGACCCCCGGAGATTCTTTAAAATTACTTCAAAAACAGAGCTTAAGGAGTCCCCAAGTATCTTTCAAACTTAATATTTCAAAAACCAGACACAAGGTGCCCTCAAGATACTTTCAAGCTACATGCTTCAAAAAAACGCAAGTGGCCACCACCGAGATTTTTTAAAATTACTTCAAAAACAAAACTCAAAGAGACCTCGAGATCCTTTCAACCTACGTACTTCAAAAACAAAACACAAGAGGTACTCGAGATTCTTTCAAATATCATCAAAAACAAGACAAGAAAACTTCCAGATTCTTTAAAATTACTTCAAACACTAAACACCAGGAGTCTACGAGACATTTTCAAGCTATATAGTTCAAAAAACCCAAGGGGTCACGGACATTCTTTTAAATTATTTCAAGAACAAGACCCACAGGGGGTCCCCGAGATTCTTTCAACCTACTTGAAAATCAACACACAATGGGTCCTCGAGATTATTTCAAATTACTAAATTACTTAAAAAAAAAAACACTAGAGGTCCCCATGATTCTTTCAAAAACAAAAAACAAGCAGTGCCCGACAAAGAAACTACTAAATTGCTTCAAAAACAAAACAGATCTACAGGAGGTCCCCAAGATTCCTTCAAGTTACTTCAAAAATAAAACACAAATGGTTCCAGAAATTCTTTCAAATTACTTCAAAAACAAGACAAGGAAACCCCAAGATTCTTTACAAATACCTACTTCAAAAATAAATCTCAAGGAGTCCTCGAGATCCTTTCAAATATCTTCAAAAATAAGAGAACGAAGTCTGAGAATCATACTTTAAAAAAACCCAAGGGGCCAACGATATTCTTTGAAATTACTTCAAAAACAAAACCCCGGGGGTCCCCAACTGCTTTCAAGCTACTTAAAAATCAAAACACGAGAGGTACTTGAGATTCTTTCAAATTACTTAATTACTTCAAAAACAGACCCACCGGGGATCCCCAAGATTCTTTAAAATTACTTCAAAAACAAAGCACAAAAAGTCCCAGAGATTATTTCAAATTACTTCAAAAACTGGACATAGGAATCCCGAGATTCTTTACAACTACTTCAAAACCAAATCTCGAGGGATCTTCGAGGTTTTTTAAAACTAGGTACTTCAAAAACTAGACACAAAGGGCCCCCAAGATTATTTAAAACTACATACTTCAATAAAACTCAAGGTATCACCCATATTCTTTAACAAAACCCTCAGGGTGCCCTCGAGATTTTTTGAAATATCTTCAAAAACAAAACACAAGTGGTCTCTGAGATACTTTAAAATTACTTTAAAAACAAAACACATGAGGTTTCCGAGATTTCTACAAATATCTTCAAAAACAAGACAAGGAAACTCCGAGATTCTCTAAAATTACTTCAAAAACAGACCCACAGGAGGTCTCCAAGATTTTTTCAAATTACTTCAAAAACAAGACAAAGAAACTGCGAGATTCTTTACAACTACCTACTTCAAAAATAAAGCTCAAGAGGTCCTCCAGATTCTTTCAACCCTACATGCTTCAAAAAAAACCCCAAATAATCAGGGAAAAAATGACAAAATCGAAAAATTGAAAAACTGAAAAATTGAAAATTCGAATATCGAAAAGTAGAATCAAATATTCAAAAAAAAAAAAAATAAAATTTCGAAAAAATCGAAAACTCGAGAAATTAAGAAAAACTTGAAAAATTGAAAAGCTGAAAAATGGAAATGCTGAAAATTCGAGAAAATAATTGAAAAGTCTAAAAATTGAAGAATGCATAAATTGAAAAATCAAAAATCGAAAATTCGAAAATTCGAAAATTCGAAAATTCGAAGAATTGAAAAATTGAAAAATGGAGAAATTGAAAAGGAAAAAAATTGAAAATTCGAATATAAGAAAATCAAATATTCAATGAATTCAGTATTCAGAAAACTAAAATCGGAAAAGTGGGCAAACCGAAAATCGAAAAATCAAAAATTGAAAAACAGAAAAACCGAAAAATAAAAATATAGCAAAATCGAAAAACTGAAAATTTGAAAATTGTAAATATCGGAACATTGCAAGTCGAAAAATCGAAAGTCAAAAAATGTAAAACTCTAGAAAAAAAAATTGAAAAATTGAAAATTCAAAAAATCGAAGAATTGAAAAACTGAAAAATCTTGAAAACAAAAAAAAAAAATTGAAAATTCATCACCGACATTCTTTAACAAGACCCGCAGGGTGTCTTCGAGATTCTTTCAACTACCTACTTCAAAAATAAAGCTCAAGAGGTACTCGAGATTATTTCAAACTATTTAGATACTTCAAAAACCAGACACAAAGCGTGCTCGAGATTGTTTCAAACTACATACTTCAAAAAAAAACCCAAGGAATCAGGGAAAAATTTAGAAACTCGAAAAACTGAAGAATGGAAAAATTAAAAAATCGAAAATTTCAAAAATTTAAAATCGAAGAATTGAAAAACTGAAAAATTGTGAATTCGAAAAGAAACAAATTGAAAATTCGAATATCGAAAAGTAGAACATTCGATGAATCAAATATTCGAAAAAACAAAAATTCGAAAAAATCGAAAACTCGAGAAATTAAGAAAAAATGGAAAAATCGTCAAGCTGAAAACTAGAAATGCTGAAAATTCAAAAATACAATTGAAAAGTCTAAAAACTGAAGAATGGATAAATTGAAAAATCAAAAATCGAAAATTCGAAAATTCAAAGAATTGAAAAATTGAAAAATCGAGAAATCGAAAAGGAAAGAAATTGAAAATTCGAATATAAGAAAATCGAATATTCAATGAATTAAGTATTCAGAAAACTAAAATCGGAAAAGCGGGAAAACCGAAAATCGAAAAATCAAAAATTGAAAAACAGAAAAACCGAAAAATAAAAATATAGAAATATAAAATAAAACTGAAAATTTGAAAATTTTAAATATCAGAACATTGGAAGTCGAAAAACCGAAAGTCAAAAAATGGAAAATTCGAAATTTAGAAAAATCCAAAATTTAAAAATCAGTTATGTATTTTGAGAATTAAGAAACCGGAAAGCAAAAATTTGAAAAATCGAAAATTCCAAAAATTGAAGAATTGAAAAACTGAAAAATCGTGAAATCAAAAAGGAAATAAATTGAAAATTCATCACCGACATTCTTTAACAAGACCCACAGTAAGTCCTTGCAATTCTTTCATTTATCTCAAAAAACAAGACAAGGGAACCTAGATATTCTTTAAAATTTCCTTAAAAAACAAAGCTCAAGGAGTCCTTGAGATTCTATGAAAGTACTTCAAAAACAAAACACAAGAGATCCCCGAGATTCTTTCAAATATCTTCAAAAACAAGATAAGGAAACTCGGAGATTCTTTAGAATTACTTCAAAAGCAGAGCTCAAGGAGATACTAGATACTTCAAAAATCAGACACAAGGGGTCCCCGAGATCTTTCAAGTTACTTAATTACTTCAAAAACAAGCCCACAGAAAGTCTCCAAGCTTCTTTCAAATTACTTCAAAAACAAAACCCACAGGGAGACTTCAAGATTCTTTAAAACCACTTGAAACGTAAGATCCACAGGTAGTTCCTAAGATTCTTCCAAACTACTGAAAATAAAATCAAGAGATTCCCGGATTCTTTCAAATTACTTCAAAAACAAGACCCCCAGGGGAGATTCTTTCAAACTACTTCAAAAACATAACACATGGAGTCCCTGAGACTCTTTCGAATTACTTTAAAAACAAGACCTACAGGGGGTCTCCGAGATTCCTTCACACTACTTCAAAAATAAGACCCACAGGGAGACCCCAAAATTCTTTCAAACTACTTCAAAAGTATGACCCACAGGGAGTTCCAGAGAAATCGGGAATTTTCCTTCCCCCTTGTTTCCTCATTCCTGTATACAAACCAATATTATTTCACCGAATCAGCATGGGTTTTCCACCCAGAAGGTCCACTGTTGCTTGTTTCAGTGTATCCATACATAGCAGACCTTCCAGCTTTGATAAATTCTTCGCTCGGTATAGATAATAATAATAATAGCATTGATTTGCATAGTCACGCCACTTGATGACACAGAAGAAGAACCAACTGTGAATCATTTAATGCAAATGGCATGCCCTCTTAACAAAAAAAAAGGAAAAGAGTTAACCTTTCAAAAGTCAAAGATCACAAACATTACCCTATAGGTATTAATAAACTCTACTACGACAAGACCAATCCATCAGTTACCAAAACGATGGCACCTACTCTCTACATGCTGGACGCTAGCCCTGCCGTAAGGGCCGTCCTCATGACCGCAAAAGCGATAAACCTTCAACTGAACCTCAGAGACATAGATTTCTTCCAGAAGGAGCAACTCCAACCAGAGTTTCTCCAGGTAAGTCCGAACACACTACGCTTTGACTACCAGTGATAATAGATGAACCCTCAACACACCATCCCTACGCTTGTGGACGACGACGGCTTCGTCGTCTGGGAAAGTCAAGCCATAATGGCCTACTTGGTGGAAAAGTACGCCAAAAACGACGACTTGTACCCCCACGACCCGAAGAAACGCGCAATCGTCAACCAGAGGATGCACTTCAACACGGGAGTGGCGTTCTTCCACATGAGGAACATAGCGGTAGATTTTAGACTCATATTTAGTACCAAAAAATGAAACGTGTTTTTAGAAAGCTATTCTTTGGTACTACGAAAGTCGGGTACCGGAGAAGGAGAGACAAGGCGCGGTTGAAGCCTATGGTTTCTTGGAAACATTTCTAGACGGAAATGAGTGGGTGGCTGGAGATTTCGTCAGCATTGCCGACTACAGTCTGATTGCTACTCTGAGTACTCTAAATACGGTGGTACCAATTGAATACGACGAGTATCCAAACGTGGTGGCTTGGATGGTGCGGTGCGAGAGTCTCCCTGGGTACCCAGCCAACAAAAAAGGGTTAAAAGCAGCCAAAGAGGTCTTCAAAATCAGAATGTCAAAGCATTAATTACTAATAAATGTGTTTATGCATTCTTCACATGTTTTAATTATAATAATTAACGTAAATAGAACACTTTTTTCTGTAAGTGTAGTTCAAGGTTGATTATTGTATTCACGTAATACGCACTCTTGTAACACTTAGTAGCACTCAATGGCTCCTACTTTGTACATGATTGACCCCAGCCCTCCCGCTAGGGCTGTAATGATGACCGCCAAAGCCATCAACCTGGACCTAAACCTAAAAGAAGTCGACTTTTTCAACGAAGAACACCTGAAACCTCCATACCTCAAAGTAAGTTTGTTAATACCCTAACCAAGTTCTGGAACTTTCTTGTAGATGAACCCTCAACACACAATTCCGACTCTCGTAGACGACGATGGGTTCACGATTTGGGACAGCCACGCCATCATGATCTATCTCGTGTCTAAATACGCCAAAGACGACTCTCTTTACCCCACGGATTTGAAAAAACGGGCTCTGATAGATCAACGTCTGCATTTTGAGTCTGGAGTAGTCTTTGCCTATTTGAGGAGAATCGCAGTTAGTTTGAGGCTTTACACAAAAATGTTTATCTGTAACCAAGTTTATTTCAGCGACCTATCGTTCTTGGTGGTCAAACTTTCATAGAACCGAAAAATAAAGAGGGTGTGATAGACAGTTACGGTTTTCTGGATGCTTTTCTAGAAGGTCGTGATTGGGTGGCTGGAGATTCTGTCTCTGTCGCTGATTTTAGTTTGTTGTCGTCGGTTGGCACTCTCGCAAGAGTTATTCCAGTCGACGAAACGAAGTTCCCAAGGGTCGTTGCATGGTTAAATCGATGCCAGAAGCTTCCAGAGTACGAAGTCAACAAAACTGGAGAAAAAGCGATGGCGGATTTCCTTTTGAGCAAATTAGAGTAGCACGTATTTCAAAATGAACAAATTTGGTTACTTTGTGGTTTAATTTTTATTAATTAAATAACAACAAAGAGGTTACATGAGTTTAATTAATCAAAGTTGGATAATTCGCTTCGTAACAAAATTTGAGCTCAACACCAATTACCCCGGAATTAATTAAAGCAGCTACTTTAAACCCGATTTTATTAAAAAAAAACACTTATTAATCAGTCGGATTGAACGCTATCCCTTATCTAAGCCTCGACCTAATCACGTTTCCATGTAGAAAACTCCGAGACCGATAACCGGGAAAAACAAGCTTACATCATAACACTCGACTCGCTTTTCACATTACTCATTTCCACTCGAGAGCAAATAACGCGCAATCCGTTTCAGCGAAAGCGGATTTTCTTTGCGTAGCTCCTCTTTAAGTTTCTTTGAACTTCGGGAAAAGGCAAACATTTCCTCGAAGCTAAACATTGACTTTGACTCAACGAACTGAAAGATTTCAAGTAATTATGGTAAAAGAAGTGAGTATGAAAGAATTTATTTAAGGCAACTGTTTCAATCTACTTTGCACCCTGCCGGCGAAAATCCGGAGGCCTGGCTTGCTGACTTCCGTTTCCGGGAGAGCTTCGACTTTGTGGAACCAGGCTTGGAGTCGGGGGTATTTGTCGGGGTCGATTGGTATGAAAACGTTGCTGGAGGAGACGGTGGAGTAGATCGAGTAGTCGGCTATGGTTACGACATCATCGGCTATCCATTCGTGACCGTCCAAAAAAGTGTCCAAGAAAGCGTAAACTTCGCCCAATTTGTGTTTGTCGTTGTCGTCGAGACTGGTTTTTTCGCCTCTACGAATAGGCAGCTGCGGAAAAGTCAAGTACTCTTAGTACCTTCATTGTGGGTACTTACCATGACGTCTGACGCTCTAACCGACGCCACCCCTGAATCAAAATGCAATCTCTGGTCGACAATCGCGCGCTTTTTTAAGTCTTGTGGGTACAAAGAGTCGCTCTGGCCATATTTTGACACTAAGTAGGCGTTGATAGCGTGGCTGTCCCATAGGATGAACCCATCGTCGTCCACCAAAGTGGGTACCGTGTGTTGTGGGTTGATCTAAACGAACCACTTGTTATTGTTAAACCATGCTTCAATTTTGACCTACTTTCAAAAATTCGGGTTGCAGGTTTTCTCTTTTTTGGAAGTCCAGGTGTTTTTCGACGAGTTTGAGTCCTAGGGCTTTGGCGGTGATCTGGACGGCTCGCACCGGAGGGCTTGAAGGGACCATGTAGAGTGTGGGCGGCATGGTTGTGAATAAATTTGCTACTAATTTTTAAACACGTATTGTATTGGTATTTCGTGTTATCGAAAGCTTTGTCTGATATGGTGCGATAAAAATAGTTGCTTGGTAACCCAAGGTTGGGTAATGGGTATAACGGTTGCATCAGCGTTGAGTGACTTGTGGTTTTTTAAGTGATTTGAATATAGGTGGATAAGGAAAAAAATGTGGAAGGTTGTTTCCATAGAATTTTCTTCGCCCTTGAGGTAAAGACAATAAATGCCGATTTTTTGAAAAATTATAAAATTTGATTTTGTCATTTATGTTTTAACCGTCGTAAAGTAAAAAATCAGTGGCGTAAATTCCAATTCCGAAAAATCGAAAATCGAAATATAGAAAAACCGAAAGTTTTAAAATCGAAAAAATAGAATAACTTCCCGAAAGTCAAAAATCGGAAACTGAATTACCGAAAATTAAATAGAGTAATACCGAAATGTGAAAACTTGGGAAATTAAGAAAACTGGAAATTAGGGAAATAGAAAATATGACAAATCGAAATGTAAAAAACTTAATAGAACAAAATTCGAAAAATCGGAAAACTGAAAATTCGAAAATAGAAAAAGCCAAGAATCAAAATGCAGAAAAATCGAGAATTCGATGAATCAAATATTGGAAAAATCGCAAATCAAAAAATTGAAAATTCGAAAATTTTAAATATCGAAAAATGGAAAGTCAAAAAATCGAATATTCAGTGAATCTAATATTCGAAATATCGAAAATTCTAAAATTTGAAAAATCGAAAACTCAAGAAATTAAGAAGTCAAAACGCAAAAAATTGAAAAATCGAAAAGCTGAAAACTGGAAATGCTGAAAATTCGAGAAAACAATTGAAAAGTGTAAAAACTGAAGAATGCATAAATTGAAAAATCAAAAATCGAAAATGCGAAAATTCGAAGAATTAAAAAATTGAAAAATCGAAGGAAACAAATTGAAAAATCGAATATTCGATGTACTGTCAAGTCAAGTATTGGAAAAATTAAAATTCAAAAAAAGGAAAATTAAAGAATGGACAAAGAAAGCCGAAAAATCGAAAAATCTAGGAATCGAAACATCAGTAGAAAAATCGAAAATTCGAAATATCGACAATTGGAAAAATGAAAAAATTGAAGAATTGAAAAATCAAGAAATGGAAAAGGAAACACATAGAAAATTCGAATATCGAAAAAACGAACATTCGATGTACGAAAAACCGAAAATAGAAAAATCTAAGAATCGAAATATAGAAAAATTGAAAATTCAAAATATCGAAACATCGAGAATTCGATGAATTAAATATTGGGAAAATCAAAAATCGGAAAATTGAAAATTTGAAAATTTGAAATATCGAAAAATAGAAAGTCGAGAAATCGAATATTCAATGAATTAAATATTCGAAATATCAAAAATTCTAAAATTTGAAAATTGAAAATTCGGAAAACCGAAAACTGAGAAATTAAGACGTCAAAAAGCAAAAAATTGAAAAATCGGAAAGTTGAAAACTGGAAAGGCTGAAAATTCGAGAAAACAATTGAAAAGTCTAAAAATTGAGGAATGCATAAATCGAAAAATCAAAAATCGAAAATGTGAAAATTCGAAGAATTAAAAAATTGAAAAATCGAGAAATCAAAGAAAACAAATTCAAAAATCGAATATTCGATGAATCAAGCATTGGAAAAGCTAAAATTCGAAAAATCAAAAAATTGAACAATGAAAATTTAGAAATTCACAAAGAAAACCGAAAATCGAAAAATCTAGGAATCGAAATATCTTAGTCAAAAAATTGAATTGAATTGAAAATTCAAGAATTGAAAATCCGAAAATTAGAAAATTTCAATGAATGTAGAAAATTCGAAAATTCGAAATATCGAAAAACCGAAAATTCAATTAACAAATATTCGTAAAATCGAAAATCGAACAAAAACTGAAAATTCGAAATATCGAAAAATCGATTAATCAAATATTCGAAAAATGGAAAACTAGAAAAATTCAATGAATCAATTATGTATTTCAAAACTTACGAAAACGAAAGGCAAAAAAATTTAAAAATCGAAACACTGAAGAATGGAAATATTGAAAATACGAAAATCCTTAAAAATCCAAAGTCGAAAAATTGAAAAACTGAAAAATCGGGAATTCGAAGAGGGAACAAAGTGAAAATTCGAAAAATCAAAAAACCAAAAACAGGAAAATCAAAAAATGGACAAAGAAAGCCGAAAAATCGAAACATCTAGGAATCGAAATATATGTACAAAAAACAAAAATCGACAGTTGGAAAATGGAAGAATTGAAAAATTCAAAATTCAAAATGTCGAAAAATCAAGAATTCGATGAATCAAATATTGGAAAAATCGAAAATTAGAAAATTGAAAATTCGAAAATTTGAAATATCGAAAAATAGAAAGTCCAAAAACCCAAAAGTCGAAAAATCGAATATTCAATGAATCAAATATTCGAAATATCGAAAATTCTAAAATTTGAAAAATCGAAAACTCGAGAAATTATGTCAAAAACCAAAATATTGAAAAATCGAAAAGCTGAAAACTGGAAATGCTGAAAATTCGAGAAAACAATTGAAAAATCTAAAAATTGAAGAATGCATAAATCAAAAAATCAAAAGTCGAAAAAGCGAAAATTCGAAGAATTAAAAAATTGGAAAATCGAGAAATCCAAGGAAACAAATTGAAAAATCGAATATTCGATGAATCAAGTATTGGAAAAACTAAAATTTGAAAAATCAGAAAACCAAAAAAAGAAAAATTAAAATATGGACAAAGAAAACTGAAAAATCGAAAAATCTAGGAACCGAAATGTGTTGAAAAATCGAAAATTCGAAATATCGAAAAACCAAAAATTCAATTAATAATTAAATAAAATATTCGAAAAATTGAAAATCGAAGAAAAACTGAAAATTCGAACATTTGAAATATCAAAAAAAAGTCGAAAAACAAAAGTCGAAAAATCGAAACACAGATGAATCAAATATTCGAAAAACCGAAAATACTAAAAACGAAAAATCTTAGTCAAAAAATTGAATTGAATTGAAAATTCAAGAACTGAAAATTCGAAAATTGGAAGATTTCAAAAATTAAGAAACCGACAAGCAAACAATTTTGAAAATCGAAAGACTGAAGAACGGAAAAATTGAAAAATCGAAAATTCCCAAAATTTAAAATCGAAGAATTGAAAATTCGAAAATTCTAAAAGGAAACAAACTGAAAATTCGAATATCGAAAAATCGAACATTCGAGGAATTAACGAATTAACGAATAAACGAAAATTCGAAAAATGGGAAAACCGAAAATTCGAAAATCGAAAAACCCAATCGAAAGTTCTAAAAAAAACCAAAAAATCGTAGAGTCGAAAACCGAAGAACAGAAAATTCGAAAAATTCAAAAACCAAAAATTCGTAATTCCAGATTTCGAAAAATCGAAAAATCCAAGCATCGAAATATCGAAAATTCGAAAATTCTAAAAACGAAAAATCTTGGTCGAAAAATCGAGAAATCGAAAAGGAAAAAAATTGAAAATTTAAATATTGAAAATTTTAAAATTAGGAAAATGCAATGAATCAATTATGTATTCCGAAAAATTAAGAAACCGAAAGGAAAAAAATTTGAAAATCGAAAAAATTCCGAAGTCGAAAAATTGAAAAATCAAGTATTCGAAAAAGAAACAAATTGAAAATTGGAATATCGAAAAACCGATGATTCGATGAATCGAAATTCGAAAAAGCAAAAATTCGAAAATAGGAAAACCGAAAAGTCGAAAATCGAGAAAAGAGAAAATCAAAAACCCAAAAATCGCCAAATCTACGAATCGAAATATGTATAGACAAAGCGAAAATTCGATCAATCAAATGGTCAAAACATCGAAAAAAAAGAAAATTCGAAAAATGAAAAAATTCAAAATTCTAATAAGGAAAAATTGAAAAACAGAAAATTCGAAAAATTGAAACATTGAAGAATCGAACAATGGAAAATCGAAAAATTAAAGAATGGAAAAGTCAAAAATCCAGAAATCGAAGAGAAAATTTCAAAAATTATAAACCAAAAATTCTAAATATGTAAAAATCGAAATGTCGAACGTAGAAAAATCAAAAATTCGAAAATCGAAAGATTGGAAGGCGAAAAATAAAAAAATTGAAAATTTGGAAAACGGATAATGAAAATCCCAAATTCCGAAAATTGAAAATTTGAAACATCGGAAATTGAAAGACCGAAAATTAGAAATAGTGAAACATCAAAGAATCGAAAAATCAAAAATCGAGAAATCGAAGAATATAAAATCCGAAAATCAAAAAGGCTAAAATTCGAAAATCCAGATTTCCAATAAACGAAAAATCCAAGAATCGAAGTATAGAAAAATCGAAATGTAAAAAATAGAAAATTCGAAAACTCTAAAGTCTAAAATTCGAATATCGAAAAATCGAACATTTGAGGAACTAAATATTAGAAAAAACGAAAATTCCGAAAATGGGAAAACCGAAAATTCGAAAATCGAAAAACCCAAAAATTGACAAATAAATATCGAAAAATCCTAAATTCGATTAATCAAATGTTCGGAACGTCGAAAAATCGAAAGTTCTAAAAAAAAAATAAAAAGCCGTAGAGTCGAAAACCGAAGAACAGAAAATTCGAAAAATTCAAGAACCAAAAATTCGTAATTCCACATTTCGAAAAATCAAAAAATCCAAGCATGGAAATATCGAAAATTCGAAAATTCTAAAAACGAAAAATCGGGAAATCGAAAAGTAAAAAAATTGGATATTGAAATAATGCAAATTCTAAAATTAGAAAAATCCGATGAATCAATTACGTATTCCGAAAAATTGAAAAACCGAAAGGCAAAAAATTTAAAAATGGAAAAACTTAAGAATGGAAATATTGAATAATCGAAAAAAATTCCTAAGTCGACAAATTGAAAAATCAAGTATTCGAAAAGGAAACAAATTGAAAATTGGAATATCGAAAAACCGAAGATTCCATGAATCGAAATTCAAAAAAACAAAAATTCGAAAATAGGAAAACCGAAAATTCGAAAATCGAGAAAAGCGAAAATCAAAAACCCAAGAATCGACAAATCTAAGAACCGAAATATGTATGGAAAAATGGAAAATTCGATCAATCAAATGGTCAAAACATCGAAAAAAATAAAATTCGAAAAACGAAAACATTCAAAATTCTAATAAGGAAAAATTGAAAAATCGGAAATTGAAAAACCGAAAATTCGAAAAATTGAAACATTTAAGAATCGAAAAATGGAAGTTCGAAAAATCGAGGAATCGAACAATGGAAAATCGAAAAATTAAAGAATGGAAAAGTCGAAAATCGAAAAATCGAAGAAGGGAAAATTTGAAAATAAAAAACCAAAAATTGGAAATATAGAAAAATCGAAATTTCGAACGTAGGAAAATCAAAAATAATAAAATCGAAGATTGGAAGGTCGAAAAATTAAAAAATTGAAAATTTGGAAAACGGATAATCAAAATTCCAAATTCCGAAAGGCAAAAAATTAAAAAATCGAAAAACTTAAGAATGAAATTATTGAAAAATCGAAAAAAAATCCAAAGTGGAAAAATTGAAAAATCAAGTATTCGAAAAGGAAACAAATTGAAATTTGGAATATCGAAAAACCGAAGATTCGATGAATCGAAATTCGTAAAAACAAAAATTCGAAAATAGGAAAACCGAAAATTCGAAAATCGAGAAAAGCGAAAATCAAAAACCCAAAAATCGGCAAATCTATGAATCGAAATATGTATGGAAAAATCGAAAATTCGATCAATCAAATGGTCAAGACATCGAAAAAAAGAAAACTCGAAAAAAGAAAAAATTCAAAATTCTAATAAGGAAAAATCGAAAAATCGAAATTTGAAAAACCGAAAATTCGAAAAATTGAAACATTGAAGAATCGAACAATGGAAAATCGAAAAATCGGGGAATCGAGCAATGGAAAATCGAAAAATTAAAGAATCGAAAAGTAGAAAATCGAGAAAACGAATAAGAGAAAATTTGAAAAATAAAAACCAAAAATTCCAAATATGAAAACATCGAAATTTTAAAAATTGAAAATAGTGAAAACGGCTAATCCAAATTCGAAATTTCTAATACTGAAAATTTCAAAAATCGAAAATTCTAAAATCGAAAAACCGAAAATCGGTAAACCGAAAAACAAAAACTCGAAATATTGAACATCGAAAAATTCTTCCTGTAACTTTAAAGCGTCCATAATTTCAGAGCATTCGGTTCTACAGTTTCAAAGTTAAATAAACTGGAACATTTTGTATAATTGTGATTTTTTTTTACAAAAATCTGGATGTCGTATAAGGATTCATAAACCACAAGTGCAGGAGCATCTCATTTTATAAAACTCAAATAACAATTACTAAGTAAATTTTGGAGATAACTCCGTCCTATTTTTGGTTACAATGAGTAGCCAAATTTTGCCTAGTGTTTACCATTTACCCGATAATCCTTAGACATATAAAATTTGACTACAATGGACTCGATAATGAATAGATCAGTAATTATTTTTAACCAAGAGATTATTTTATAAACAATTTATCGCTTATCAAAAAAAGAGCGGAAAGCGGATTTAACAAAAACACAACTTCCTCATCAAACGTTCCCAAATTAATAACGTCTCCACAAAACCACCAGATAACACCAAATCGCTAAATTCCAACTCGAACAACTCAAACATAAACACTGCTTCGTCGTCTTGAGCATTTCGTGCACGAATTCCCACCATTTTCCACATCTATCAATATTTGCGTCGTGTAGGGATTGCGGCGAAGCTAAAGGATTATAAATTAGCTCCCGGCATTGGATTGTCTGTCACGTAATGAATTCATTCAAACACAAATTGCTGCAATTTGTTCTCGAGTACCCCAGTTGGTATCAAAACAAACAACGAGTTTTATTAAGTAATACAAAACTAAAGTTTCATTTCTAGCCTAACTTTGAGCATGTGGGTTGCCTCTTTTAAGCCTTTACGACTAGCGCGACATTCGGGAAGGTCTTCACACCTATCCAACCAGGCGAAAACGTTCGGGAACACGTCAAAATCGACAGGAATAACGCCGTTGGCGCAACTAAAAGTAGTGACTAAACTATAATCAGCAAGTGTGATCGAGTCACCAGCTGCCCATTCCTTCCCTTCCAGAAACTTATCTAGAAAACCATACGCTTCAATGATGTGTTGTTTCTCTTCAGGATCTATGAACTTGTCGCCTCTATTAAGAATTGCTTTCTAGAAAACAGTACTATGTCTAAAAATGAAAAAGCGATGTACGGTACTACATTACTGCTATGTTCTTCATGTGAAAGAAGACGGCACTCGATTCGAAGAAGAGTCTCTGGTTGATGATGGCACGTTTCTTCAAGTCTTGGGGGTAGAGCGAGTCGTTTTTAGCGTACTTCGAGACTAGGTAGGCCATGATGGCATGACTGTCCCAGATTGCAAACCCATCGTCGTCCACAAGAGTCGGAATGGTGCGCTGGGGGTTCAGCTAGAACGACTTTATTAGCACAAAGACAACTACAACTCTAAGGTACCTTCTGGTACTCCGGTGTCAAGTGTTCGTCACGAAAAAAGTACACTTCTTTTTTGTCCAAGGTTAGACCAAGGGCGTGGGCTGTTATTAACACTGCACGACAGGGGGGGCTTGCAGCCAGCATGTACAAAGTAGGACACATATTCAGGTACTAACTAGTAAGTACTTAGAATGCAAAAATTGTGCTAGTTTAGATTTACATTACTTATTTATTCAAATTAATGCTACTTTCATTGTATTGTAGTTTTAAAAATGTGGTACTACAGCTTTGACAGTCTGTTTTTAAATATAAGCGAAAATAGTGCCAACCCATCTCTGTTGGCCTCGTACTCTGAAAGATTCTCCAACCGTTTCAACCACACCGTCACGTTGGGAAACTTTTTCGGGTCAATGGGTACTAAAACCCCAATACTGCTAATAGAAGCCCCTAAACTATAATCAGCGAGGGTGACAAAGTCACCAGTTGCCCATTTCTTCCCTTGCAGAAACCTTTCCAAAAAAGTGTAGGCTTCAATCATGTCGTCTAGATCTCTCTTGTCAATGGTACCCTTTCTTTGGACTAGAAGGGGTTTCTACAAAGAAATACGCGTGAAAGTGTGTTGTTAGTGTTGTTACTAATAGTTAATTTTTAGTACCGTGATTCGTAGCAACCTAGCAAAGACAATTCCAGACTCGAAATGGAGGCGTTGGTCTACCAGGGCGCGTTTTTCTGGGTCTTTGGGGTACAAAGAGTCGTCTTTGGCGTATTTTGTTACTAAATAGGTCATTATGGCGTGGCTGTCCCATATTGTGAAGCCGTTGTCGTCGACTAGGGTTGGTACCGTGTGTTGGGGGTTGAGCTACAAAGTAACCATGTAGGGGTGGAAATACGGGACAAGACTTGCCTTCAGGTAGTCGGATTTGAGGTGATCGTTTGACAGAAGTCCCACTTCTTTTAAATTTAAGTCCAAGCCGATGGCTTTAGCTGTCATTAACACGGCACGAACTGGAGGGCTCGGGTACACCATGTATAGAGTAGGCGCCATGATGAAGTACCAAGATTATTAGTTGTTTTCGTTGTGTCATTTATAAGATCAAATTCCAAGTTCAACTGGCAAATGAATACAAGGTTGGTGTATTACTGGTTGCATATTCATTAAAAACAATATTTTTTTTTTATCAAACAGTGTTAAGCTAGTTTTTTGTGATCATGTTCTTAAGCTCTTAAGCAATTATAACAAAATCCGCAATGGTTACCCAGTCACCAGTAACCCATTTGTGGGAATGGGAACTTCACCTTGATAAATAATGGGACCCTAAGTACCACACAATAACAAACTCTTCATTTTTTTTGTAAAAATAACATACAAGAACATTTAGAGTGAAAAGGACTCCGTTGTTGAAGTGTAACCTCTGGTTTATGGTGGCCCTTTTACGAAGATCCTTGGGGTGAAGGGATCATCTTCTTTCCCGTATTTATCGACAAGGTAAGGCATTATGGCGTGACTTTCCCACAACACGAACCCATCGTCTTCCACTGGAGTGGGTACTATGTGCTGCGGGTTCAACCATTGATTAATATAGATGTGACATACAGGCTGATTTTGCAAAACCACCCTTATTGACATTGGAGCCCTCAAGCGCCAAATTTAAATAGTCGATGCCAATAAAAAACTTGTTTCACTACAACTCGTCGCCTGAGAACTTGTTTGATCTACAGACCAGAGCGCGCTCAGGCCAATGTCGACTCTAAGCGTTCAGAAGCGATTTACTTAGTTTGGACTATAATTTCTGCGAATATTGTTGAAATCGCAGTGACACAATGGATTTTGTTCGGGAAAATGTTTTGGAAACACTGTGTTCTATTTTGTATGAATTTTTAAATGTTTTTAATGACAATTTTTGTGGTTATGCTGTATGATAATAATAATAATAATTTTTATTGAACCAATTTTAAATAAATAAATTATAAACATTGGTACAAAAGGTGCAGATACAGCAAACACTGATATTAATCTGACCTGACATTAGTATCTAACCTAACATGAGTATTAAAAGAAGTTTAATTATTATTAACAATTTAAAACAGACCTAAATTTATATTTGGTATTTCTCCATTCAGCAGTCGTTGTTTTAGCAGTTTTTTTGAAGTTTCATTAAAAATGAGGCTCTTCTCTACGCCAATGACATTATTTATAACATACGCCGCCAAGTAAGAAAATGAAGACTTAAAACATACCAGGTTATGCCGTGGTATGTCAGCTGAAAAACACACATTTCTTAGGTTTTTATTGTGGATAGTTGATCGCAGCACTATTTTGTTAATCAAATAAGAAGGTGCTGATGTGTGCAACACTTTGGAAACAATTGAGACGTAATGAATGAAGCGTCGTTCACCTGACTTCAGCCAATTTAGTTGTCTAATGAAGGGTTATATTAACAGTGAGCAAAAAAAATCGAAAAATGAAACATCAGAAAATCGAAAAAATGTAAAATTCAAAAATCTAAAATATAAAAACCGAATAACGAAAAATCGAGAAATCGAAAAATCAAAAGATCAAGAAATCGTGGAGTCGAAAAGTCGAACAATTGAAAAACCGAAATAGGCCAAAATCGAAAAATCGAAAAGTTAAAAATTGAACAATTTATAAATTGAGAAATTGACAATCAAAATATCGAAAAATCCAAATCTCGATAAATCGAGAAATCAAAAAACTTAAAAATTCGAAAAATTGAAAAATTGAGAGATTGAAAGATCAAGAGAACGAGAAATCGAAAAATAGAGAAATCGACAAACAAAAAGTTAAAAGTTGAAAAATTGGAAAAGCGGAAAAATCAAAAAACGAAAAAATGGGAAACTGGAAAAACTGAGAAACCGAAATAGGCCAAAATAAAAAAGGAAGTCGAAAAATTGAAACCTTGAAAAATTCAAATATCGAAAAACTGAACTGAAAAATCGAGAAATCGAAAAATCTAAAATTTTAAAAATTAAAAAATCTAAAATTTAAAAATCGAAAAATTGAAAAATCGAAAAAGTAAAATAATCGACACATCGAAAAATCCAGGAGTCAAAAATCGAAAAGTCGAAGAATCGAAATATTGGAAAATCTCAAAACTGAGATATCGAAAAACTGAAAAATGAAAGAAAAACAGAAAAATGGAAAATCTGAAAAATCCGAAAACTCAAAAATATCCAAAAACTGAGAACCTAAAAAGTCGAAAAATTGAGCAATCGAAAAATCCAAAAAGTGAAGTCGAAAAATCGAAACCTTAAAAATCTAAAAAATGAAAAATCGAAAAATTAAAGAATTGAAGAATAGGAATATCGAAACCCTCGAAAGTCAAGAAATGGGAAAATCAAAACATCGATTTCAAATTTGAAAAATTGAAAAATCGAAAATTTGAAAAAACGACAATTGAAAAACAGAAAATCTAAAACTGGAAGTCGAAAACTCGATGGATTAAGAAATCAAAACATTTGAAAAATTCGAAAACATGAAAAACGGAAATATCGAAGAACTGAAATGAAAAATCGAGAAATCGAAAAATCTAAAATTTTAAATATTGTTAAAAAAAATATCAAAAAACTGAAAAATCTAAAATTTAAGAAACGAAAAATTGAAAAAACGACAATTGAAAAACAGAAAATCTAAAACCGGGAAGTCGAAAAATCTAAAGATTAAGAAATCGAAACATTTGAAAAATTTTAAATATTGAAAATTTAAAATACCAAAAAATTGAGAAATCTGAAATTTAAAAATCGAAAAAGTAAAAAGTCGACACATCGAAAAATTCAGAAGTTAAAAATGGTGAAGTCGAAGAACAGAAATATTGAAAAATCCCAAATCTGAAATATCGAAAATCTGAAAATCGAAGAATGGCAATTTCGAAAGATTCGAAACTCAAAAATCCGAAAATCCAGATTTCGAATAAACGAAAAATCCAAGCATCGAGATATCGAAAATTTGAAAAAACGACAATTGAAAAACAGAAAATCTAAAACGGGAAGTGGAAAAATCAATAGATTAAGAAATCGAAACATCTGAAAAATTCGAAAACATGAAAAACGGAAATATCGAAGAACTGAACTGAAAAATCGAGAAATCGAAAAATCTAAAATTTTAAAAATTAAAAAATCTAAAATTAAAAAATCGAAAAAGTAAAATAATCCACACATCGAAAAATCCAGGAGTCAAAAATCGAAAAGTCGAAGAATCGAAATATTGAAAAATCCCAAAACTGAGATATCGAAAAACTGAAAAATGAAAGAAAAATAGAAAGATGGAAAATCTGAAAAATCCGAAAACTCAAAAATATCCAATAACTGAGAACCTAAAAAGTCGAAAAATTGAGCAATCGAAAAATCCAAAAAGTGAAGTCGAAAAATCGAAACCTTAAAAATCTAAAAAATGAAAAATCGAAGAATTGAAGAAATGAAGAACAGGAATATCGAAACCCTCGAAAGTCAAGAAATAGGAAAATCAAAACATCGATTTCAAATTTAAAAAATTGAAAAATCGAAAATTTGAAAAAACGACAATTGAAAAACAGAAAATCTAAAACGGGAAGTCGAAAAATCGATGAATTAAGAAATCAAAACATTTGAAGAATTCGAAAACATGAAAAACGGAAATATCGAAGAACTGAAATGAAAAATTGAGAAAACGAAAAATCTAAAATTTTAAATATTGAAAAATAAAAATATCAAAAAACTGAAAAACCTAAAATTTAAAAATCGAAAAATTGAAAAAACGACAATTGAAAAACAGAAAATCTAAAACCGGGAAGTCGAAAAATCTAAAGATTAAGAAATCGAAACATTTGAAAAATTTTAAATATTGAAAAATTAAAATACCAAAAAATTGAGAAATCTGAAATTTAAAAATCGAAAAAGTAAAAAGTCGACACATCGAAAAATTCAGAAGTTAAAAATGATGAAGTCGAAGAACAGAAATATTGAAAAATCCCAAATCTGAAATATCGAAAAACTGAAAATCGAAGAATGGCAATTTCGAAAGATTCGAAACTCAAAAATCCGAAAATCCAGATTTCGAATAAACGAAAAATCCAAGCATCGAGATATCGAAAATTTGAAAAATCTAAAAATGGAAAATCTTAGTCGAAAAATAGAGAAATCGAAACGTAAAAAAGGTTAAAATTCCAATACTAAAAATTCGAAAATTAGAAAAATTCAATGAATCAATTATGTATTTCGAAAAATTAAGAAACCGAAAAGCAAAAAAAATGTTAAAACCGACACACTGAAGAATGGAAATATTGAAAAATCGATAATCCCTAAAAATCCAAAGTCGAAAATTTGAAAAACTGAAAAATCGAAAATTTGAAGAGGAAACAAAGTGAAAATTCGAATATCGTAAAATTGAAGATTCGATGAATCAAATATTCGGAAAAACAAAAATTCGAAAAATAGGAAAACCGAAAATTCGAAAATCGAGAATAGCTAAAATCGAAAAACCCAAAAATTGACAAATCTAAAAATCAAAATATAGAAAAATCCAACATTCGATAAATAAAATGTTCGAAACAACGAAAATTAGAAAATTCTAAAAACGAAAAATCTTAGTCGAAAAATCGAGAAATCGAAAAGTAAAACAATTGAAAATTCAAATATTGAAAATTCTAGAATTAGAAAAATTCAATAAATCAATTATGTATTTCGAAAAATGAAGAAACCGAAAAGCAAAAAAATATTTAAAATCGAAACACTGAAGAATGGAAACATTGAAAAGTCGAGAATTTGAAGAGGAAACTAATTGAAAATTCAAATATCGAAAATTCGAAGATTTGATGAATCAAATACATATTTGAAAAAACAAAAATTCGAAAATTCGATAATCGACAAAGGTGAAAATCGAAAAACCCAAAAATCGACAAATCTAAGAATCGAAATATAGAAAAATCGAAAATTCGATGAATGCAATGATCGAAACATAGAAAAATCTGAAAAATCCGAAAACTCAAAAATATCCAAAAACTGAGAACCTAAAAAGTCGAAAAATTGAGCAATCGCAAAAACCAAAAAGTGAAGTCGAAAAATCGAAACCTTAAAAATCTAAAAAATGAAAAATCGAAAAATTAAAGAATTGAAGAACAGGAATATCGAAATCCTCGAAAGTCAAGAAATGGGAAAATCGAAACATCGATTTCAAATTTGAAAAATTGAAAAATCGAAAATTTGAAAAAACGACAATTGAAAAACAGAAAATCTAAAACGGGAAGTCGAAAAATCGATGGATTAAGAAATCAAAACATCTGAAAAATTCGAAAACATGAAAAACGGAAATATCGAAGAACTGAAATGAAAAATCGAGAAATCGAAAAATCTAAAATTTTAAATATTGAAAAATAATAAAATATCAAAAAACTGAAAAATTTAAAATTTAAAAATCGAAAAATTGAAAAAACGACAATTGAAAAACAGAAAATCTAAAACCGTTAAGTCGAAAAATCGAAAGATTAAGAAATCGAAACATTTGAAAAATTTAAAAAAAAATCTAGATTTCCAATAATCGAAAAATCCAAGCATCGAGATATCGAAAATTCGAAATATCTAAAAATGGAAAATCTTAGTCGAAAAATAGAGAAATCGAAACGTAAAAAAGGTTAAAATTCCAATACTAAAAATTCGAAAATTAGAAAAATTCAATGAATCAGTTATGTATTTCGAAAAATTAAGAAACCGAAAAGCAAAAAAATTGTTAAAAACCGACACACTGAAGAATGGAAATATTGAAAAATCGATAATCCCTAAAAATCCAAAGTCGAAAAATTGAAAAACTGAAAAATCGAAAATTTGAAGGGGAAACAAAGTGAAAATCGAAGATTCAATGAATCAAATATTCGGAAAAACAAAAATTCGAAAAATAGAAAACCGAAAATTGGAAAATCGAAAAACCCAAAAATTGACAAATCTAAAAATCAAAATAATGAAAAATCCAAAATTCAATAAATAAAATGTTCGAAACATCGAAAATTAGAAAATTCTAAAAACGAAAAATCTTAGTCGAAAAATCGAGAAATCGAAAAGTAAAAAAATTGAAAATTCAAATATTGAAAATACTAGAATTAGAAAAATTCAATAAACCGAAAAGCAAAAAAATATTTAAAATCGAAACACTGAAGAATGGAAATATTGAAAAATCAAGAATTTGAAGAGGAAACTAATTGAAAATTCGAATATCGAAAATTCGAAGATTCGATGAATCAAATATTTGAAAAAACAAAAATTCGAAAAATAGGAAAACCGAAAATTCGATAATAGAGAAAGGCGAAAATCGAAAAACCCAAAAATCGACAAATCTAAGAATCGAAAAGTCGAGAAATCTAAAAATAAGGGTGGGATTTTAACCGTTAATTCATGTGAAAGAAGGCCGCACTCGATTCGAAGAAGAGTCTCTGGTTGATGATGGCACGTTTCTTCAAGTCTTTGGGGTAGAGCGAGTCGTCTTTAGCGTACTTCGAGACTAGGTAGGCCATGATGGCGTGACTGTCCCAGATTGCAAACCCATCGTCGTCCACAAGGGTCGGAATGGTACGCTGGGGGTTCAGCTAGAACGACTTTATTTGTACAAATACAACTACAACTCTAAGGTACCTTCTGGTACTCCGGTGTCAAATGTTCGTCACGAAAAAAGTACACTTCTTTTTTGTCCAAGGTTAGACCAATGGCGTGGGCTGTTATTAACACTGCACGACAGGGGGGGCTTGCAGCCAGCATGTACAAAGTAGGACACATATTCAGGTACTAACTAGTAAGTACTTAGAATGAAAAAAGTATGCTTTACATTACTTATTTATTCAAATTGATGCTACTTTCATTGTATCGTTATTTATAATTTTAAAAATTCAGTCTTGGTACTACAATTTTGACAGCCTCTTTTTAAATATAAGCGAAAATAGTGCCAACCCATCTCTGTTGGCCTCGTATTCTGGAAGATTCTCCAACCGTTTCAACCACGCCGTCACGTTTGGAAACTTATTCGGGTCAATGGGTACTAAAACCCCAATACTGCTAATAGAAGCCCCTAAACTATAATCAGCGAGGGTGACAAAGTCACCAGTTGCCCATTTCTTCCCTTGTAGAAACCTCTCCAAAAACGTATAGGCTTCAATCATGTCATCTAGATCTCTCTTGTCAATAGTACCCTTTCTTTGGACCAGAAGCGGTTTCTACAAACAAATACGCGTGAAAGTGTGTGTTATTACTAATAAGTAGTTAAATTTTAGTACCGTGATTCGTAGTAACCTAGCAAAGACAATTCCAGACTCGAAATGGAGGCGTTGGTCCACCAGGGCGCGTTTTTCTGGATCTTTGGGGTATAAAGAGTCGTCTTTGGCGTATTTTGTTACTAGGTAGGTCATTGTGGCGTGGCTGTCCCATATTGTGAAGCCGTTGTCGTCAACGAGGGTTGGTACCGTGTGTTGGGGGTTGAGCTACAAAGTAACCATGTAGGGGTGGAAATACGGGACAAGACTTGCCTTCAGGTAGTCGGATTTGAGGTGATCGTTTGACAGAAGTCCCACTTCTTTTAAATTCAAGTCCAAGCCGATGGCTTTAGCTGTCATTAACACGGCGCGAACTGGAGGGCTCGGGTACACCATGTATAGAGTAGGCGCCATGATGAAGTACCAAGATTATTAGTTGTTTTCGTTGTGTCATTTATAAGATCAAATTCCAAGTTCAACTGGCAAATGAATACAAGATTGGTGTATTACTGGTTGCATATTCATTAAAAACCATATATTTTTTTTTAATCAAACAGTTAAGCTAATTTTTTTGTGACCATGTTCTTAATTATCTCCAGGCCTCTCCTATTTTCGTCATAATAGGGTAACCCTTCGGCCCTTCTCATCCAGGCATAAACATTTGGATATATTTCTTCACCAACTGGAACCACCACATCCAGACTTGTCACAGTAGCAATTATAGCAAAATCCGCAATGGTCACCCAATCACCAGCTACCCATTTGTGCCTATCTAAAAATGTCTCCAAAAACGCGTAGGCTTCCCTCACCCGACTAACTTTTTCTTCGGAAATGGTACCCTCACCTTGATAAATAATAGGACCCTGCGTATCATACAATAACAAATCTTCCTTGTTTGTGAAAATAACATACAAGAACATTTAGGGTGAAAAGCACTCCGTTGTTGAAGTGTAACCTCTGATTTATGGTGGCCCTTTTACGAAGGTCCTTGGGGTAAAGAGGATCGTCTTCTTTCCCATATTTATCGACAAGGTAGGGCATTATGGCGTGACTTTCCCACAACACGAACCCATCGTCTTCCACTAAAGTGGGTACTGTGTGCTGCGGGTTCAACTAAAACTGAACATGTTTAACTGGTTGTATATTCGATAACATACGTGTACCTTGGTAAAAGTAGATGATAACTGTTGTTTATCAATTAAACTGACTTCTTGTAACTCGATTTCGATGTTTAAGGCTTTAATGGTCATCAGAGTGGCACGAACCGGTTGGGAATATGGCACCATGTACAAAACCGGCGCCATTTTGTCAACAATAAAGATAACACTTATATAATAGTTTATTAACACTTAATCAAAGTTTATAAATATTTACTCTATAGTTGTAAGTTTGCTCTCAATGAGCTCCCTAAACATCCCGAGTCCTTTCTTATTCGCTCCATACTCCCCCAAATGCTCCATTCTCTTCACCCAAGCCGCCACATTCGCGAATTTACCCTCATCAACCCTGACCAACACCTCCAACGTACTAATGGTACTAATCAAACTATAATCGGCCACTGTGACATGCCCCCCCGCCATCCATTTCCTCCCATCCAGAAACTTATCCAGAAACGCGTAAACCTCCTCCGCCAATTTAACATCCTCTGGCTCTATTTTCGTTTTACCTTTGCGAATAATGGGACCCTACAACACTCTACTTGAGCACCAATATACAAAGAGTTTCTCGTTTACCGCTATTTGCAGCAACCTAGGGTTTGCGATTGACGATTCAAAATGAAGTCTTTGATCCACCACTGCCCGTTTGAGGAGTTCTTTAGGGTATAGAGACTCCTTGTGTTGTCCGTACTTGGACACAAGATACGTAATAATGGCATGACTGTCCCACAAAACGGCACCATCGTCTTCCACCAGCGTCGGTACTGTGTGTTGGGGATTTAGCTGGAAGTACCCAGAATTAAAACATCTTCAGATAACCTCAAACCCGAGCAGGCTTACCTTGAGAAATTCCGGTTTCAGGTGTTCACCGTCATTCAGATTAATTTCTTTCAGATCTAGTTCGAGTCCGATGGATTTTGCTGTTATCAGTACCGCCCTGACCGGCGGACTTGGATGTACCATGTATAAAGTCGGAGCCATGGGTGTACACGTGATCAACGCACGAGCGAGACTAATATTTACACTACTGAAAACATTAGATCATTGTGAAGTCACCCATAAATTAAGCACACCATTGGATGGTACGCTTCCGGTGACTCACCTTGGTGGTACTCATGATTGTTTGGTGTCAGCTGTTCGTGTTTACTCTCGAATGAACCAGTTAGTTTGGTTTGTTCGGTGAGGAGAGTCTAAATTTATGGCGCCTATTCTGTACATGGTACCACCGAACCCGGGGGTCAGAGCTGTTTTAATTACAGCCAAAGCCATCGGGTTAGAATTGGAATTAAAAGAGGTTAATATGCCAGCTGGCGAACACTTGAAACCCGACTTTATTAAAGTAAGTCGGAGTAAAAATGGTACAATGAACTCATCAAGGTCATTTTTAATCAAACACAGTTGATGTAAATGTTTGTTTTCAGATTAATCCCCAGCACAGTATTCCAACCCTCGTCGACGATGACGGTTTTACCGTGTGGGACAGCCACGCGATAATAACATACCTGGTGTCCAAGTACGCCGAAACTAGTACCCTCTACCCCTCAGACATCTAAAAGCGCGCCACCGTAGACCAAAGACTATTTTTTGAACAGGGTGTAGTCTTCTCGCGTTTGTTTAAAATAGCGGTACTCCCTCTAAGTACTGGTAGTAACCTAGTAACTGTTTGAATGTCCATAGGACCCTATTATTCAAAACAAGAAGAAACAACTTTCTCAGAAAGACATAGACAGTATTAATGAAATCTACTCTTTCTTGGAGGCGCTCCTCGATGGGCGAAAATGGATCGCTGATGACTGCGTGACCGTCGCCGACTATAGTTTAATTTCGTCGGTTAGTAGCTTCAACGTGCTTTTGCCCATCGATGGTCACAAGTACCCTAGAACATCCCAATGGTTTGAAAACTGCGAGAGTCTTCCAGAGTACGAAGCTAACAAGCACGGGATAGAACTCTTTTCCAGTGTTGTTAAAAATAAATTGGTGCAGTAGTACTTGGTGTTTAGTTTAAACGCAAAATTTTGCTAGAGATAACACCATGAATAGGCACATTTGCAGATAAAAAAGGCGTCTGGTGTGGACTTTATCAGTGCGTGAAGAGTTCTGAGAGCAGATGGCCACCATGGCTCCGACTTTGTACATGTTTCATGAAAGCCCTCCATCACGAGCTGTGATGATGACGGCAAAAGCTATAGGTTTGTCGTTGAAGCTTAAGGAAATTAGTTACTTAGATCAAGACAATTTGAAACCCGAATTTCTTAAAGTAAGTGCGAGTGGTTTAAAAGTAGTCGCTATTGTAAATTTTGGTAGCTTAACCCACAACACACAGTGCCCATTCTTGTGGAAGATAGTGGTTTCACGTTATGGGATAGTCACGCCATTATGACGTACCTTGTGTCCAAATACGCCAGCAATGATTCTCTGTACCCCAAAGACTTGCAAAAGCGGGCTGTAGTAGACCAAAGACTACATTTCGAATCAGGAGTAGTCTTTTCCAGATTGTTAAGAATCACGGTACGTTATTGACAATAATTACAACAACAAAAAATAATTCGGGTTTTGTTTTTTACAGAGACCTATACTCTTCCATGGTCGAAGTACCATTAACGAGGAAGATAGAAACAACATGCTGGAAGCTTACTCCTTCTTGGAAAGTTTTCTGCAAGGGACAAAATGGGCTGCAGGGGATTTTGTTAGTGTTGCCGACTACAGTCTGGTGGCTTCAGTTGGTAGCATTGCAGCTTTGGTTCCTATTGACGGGAAGAAGTACCCTAATGTTGCTGCGTGGCTGAAGAGGGTTGAAGGTCTTCCGGAGTTTGAAGCTAACAGAAAGGGACACGACGCGTTTCCGGGCCTGTTCAAGGGCAAATTAAAGGCGATGTAAAGCAAAAATAAAGGTTTATGGTGGTACTACTTTACTACTTTCATCTTGAAAAGATTGGTCCAAAGTTATTTCGTCAAAACTTCTCTCGCCCACGAAGTTTTACTTTTTGTGATAACCTCTATAGAATAAAAACAATAGAGAAAGTGAAGGCAAATGGGGCGCCCGAGAAGGTTTTATCTTCTTCAAAAAAGTGACAATTAGGGCCTAGAGAAGGTTTTATACTCTTAAAAATATATGTTGGGGGCCCTCGAGAACGATTCAGCTTCTTAAAAAAAAGGCAGTTGGGGGCCCCAAGAAGGTTTAAAATTCTTTAAAAAAAGGCAAAAAGGGTCCCAAGAGGGTTTGGGTGTCTTAAAAAGAAACTGTTGGGACCCCCGAGAAGGTTTAACATTTTTAAAAAATATATATTTGGGACCATCGAGAAGAATTCAGTTTCTCAAAAAATGTATATTTGGGACCCTCGAGAAGAATTCAGTTTCTCAAAAAAGGGCAGTTGGGACCCCCAAGAAGGTTTCATATTCTTAAATAAAAAGTTGGGACCCCCGAGAAGGTTTAATCTTCTTCAAAAAAGTGACAGTTGGGACCCCGAGAAGGTTTTATCTTCTTCAAAAAAGTGACAGTTGGGGCCTCGAGAAGGTTTCGGCTTCTTAAAAGAAATTGTTGGGACCCCCGAGAAGGTTTTATATTCTTAAATAAAAGACACAAGGAGCCCTCGAGAAGGTTTCACATTTTTAAAAAATATATATTGGGGGCCCTCGTGAAGGATTCAACTTCTTAAAAAAAAAGGTAGTTGGGACCCCCAAAAAGGTTTCACCTTCTTAAAAAAAAAGGCACAAGGGCCCTAAGAAGGTTTCGGTCTCTTAAAAAGAACTGTTGGGACCCCAGAGAAGGTTTTATCTTCTTCAAAAAAGTGACAGTTGGGGCCCCGAGAAGGTTTCGGCTTCTTAAAAGAAATTGTTGGGACTCCCAAGAAGGTTTTATCTTCTTCAAAGAAAGTGATAGTTGGGGACCCGAGAAGGTTTTATATTCTTTAAAAAGACACATGGCGCTCCCGAGAAGGTTTTATATTCTTAAATAAAAGACATAAGGAGCCCTCGAGAAGGTTTCACATTTTTAAAAAATATATATTGGGGCCCCTCGTAAAGGATTCAACTTCTTAAAAAAGGCAGTTGGGACCCCCAAAAAGGTTTCACCTTCTTAAAAAGAAAGGCAGTTGGAGGCCCCGAGAAGGTTTAGCATTCTTTTAAAAAAGGCACAAGGGCCTTAAGAAGGTTTCGGTCTCTTAAAAAGAACTGTTGGGACCCAGAAAAGGTTTTATCTTCTTCAAAAAAGTGACAGTTGGGGCCCCGAGAAGGTTTTATATTCTTAAAAAAGACACATGGGGCTCCCGAGAAGGTTTCACATTTTCAAAAAATATATATTTGGGAGCCTCGAGAAGAATTCAGCTTCTCAAAAAGGGCAGTTGGGATCCCCAAGAAGATTTCATATTTTTAAATAAAATGTTGGGACCCCCGAGAAGGTTTTATCTTCTTCAAAAAAATTACAGTTGAGACCCCAAGAAGGTTTTATCTTCTTCAAAAAAGTGACAGTTGGGGCTCCCGAGCAGGTTTCACATTTTTAAAAAATATATATTTGGGAGCTTCGTGAAGAATTCAGCTTCTCAAAAAGATTTCATATTCTTAAATAAAATGTTGGGACCCCCAAGAAGGTTTTATCTTCTTCAAAAAAACTAACAGTTGGGGCCCCGAGGAGGTTTTATATTCTTTAAAAAGACACATGGGGCTTCCGAGAAGGTTCCACATTTTTAAAAAATATATATTTGGGAGCCTCGAGAAGAATTCAGCTTCTCAAAAAGGGCAGTTGGGACCCCCACGAAGATTTCATATTCTTATATAAAATGTTGGGACCCCCAAGAAGGTTTTATCTTCTTCAAAGGAAGTGACAATTGGGGCCCCGAGAAGGTTTTATATTCTTTAAAAAGACACATGGGGCTTCCGAGAAGGCTCCACATTTTTAAAAAATATATATTTAGGAGCCTCGAGAAGAATTCAGCTTTTCAAAAAGGGTAGTTGGGACCCCCAAGAAGACTTCATATTCTTAAATAAAAAGTTGGGACTCCCGACAAGGTTTTATCTTCTTCAAAAAAGTGACAGTTGGGGCCCCGAGAAGGTTTTATATTATTTAAAAAGACACATGGGGCTTCCGAGAAGGCTTTACATTTTTAAAAAATATATATTTGGGAGCCTCGAGAAGAATTCAGCTTCTCAAAAAGGGAAGTTCGGACCCCCAAGAAGATTTCATATCTTTAAATAAAAAGTTGGGACCTCCGACAAGGTTTTATCTTCTTCAAAAAATTACAGTTGGAACCCCGAGAAGGTTTTACCTTCTTCAAAAAAGTGACACTTGGGGCCCCGGGAAGGTTTCGCCTTCTTAAAAGAAATTGTTGGGACCCTCGAGAAGGTTTTATCTTTTTCAAAAAAAGTGACAGTTAGGGCCGAGAAGGTTTTATATTCTTTAAAAAGACACATGGGGCTCCCGAGACGGTTTCACATTTTTAAAAAATATATATTTGAGAGCTTCGAGAAGAATTCAGCTTCTCAAAAAGGGCACCCCCAAGAAGATTTCATATTCTTAAATAAAAGCTTGAGACCCCCGAGAAGATTTTATCTTCTTCAAAAAAGTGACAGTTGGGAGCCCGAGAAGGTTCTATATTCTTAAAAAAGGCACATGGGGACCCGAGGTTTTATCTTCTTTAAAAAAATTATAGTTGGGACCCCGAGAAGGTTTCGGCTTCTTAAAAGAAATTGTTGGGACCCTCGAGAAGGTTTTATCTTCTTCAAAAAAAGTCACAATTGGGGCCCCGAGAAGGTATTATATTCTTTAAAAAGACACATGAGGCTTCCGAGAAGGTTTCACATTCTTAAAAAATATATATTTGGGAGCCTCGAGAAGAATTCAGCTTCTCAAAAAGAGCAGTTGGGATCCCCAAGAAGATTTCATATTCTTAAATAAAATGTTGGGACCTCCGAGAAGGTTTTATCTTCTTCAAAAAAATTACAGTTGGGACCCCGAGAAGGTTTCGGCTTCTTAAAAGAAATTGTTGGGACCCCCGAGAAGGTTTTATATTCTTAAATAAAAGACACAAGGAGCCCTCGAGAAGGTTTCACATTTTTAAAAAATATATATTGGGGGCCCTCGTGAAGGATTCAACTTCTTAAAAAAAAAGGTAGTTGGGACCCCCAAAAAGGTTTCACCTTCTTAAAAAAAAAGGCACAAGGGCCCTAAGAAGGTTTCGGTCTCTTAAAAAGAA